TGCCACAGTGGCTGGTGATCAAAAAAGTAAATGTCAAGCCCTGGTTATTATACACAGACACAGATTTAATAAAGTACAATGGACATTATGCAAGTTTAAAGTACAAGACGTACACAATAAAAAAAACGTTAAGCAATTTGGTAAACAAAGACAAGACATAAACAATTGTAAAAGGTACAAAATAATACTGCTAAAATAACACGCCTGATAACAAATAACAGCTTTATAAGATCAAAAACTGTCTGTTAGATGTTCACAAGATGAATTAAACATCATGTTTTAACTACAATGGAGAGATGCAGTCCAGCGGTACATCCAGCATGGACTGGCCTATGTAAAGCTGCTCTCGGCGGGGGAGGTGATGACGGAGCTCCCGCTGGCAGGCTGGGAGTCAGAGTCCGATAAGCTGAGGCACGTCGTCAAAGACGCGCTCTCTTTATAAATAAACTGCCGATTCGAGTTTAAAACAACGATATTATCGCCTGAAAAACTCGTAACTTTATTTTGTGACAGTAAAGGAGTATTTTTAAAACCGTGCGGGTTTTCACCTCCACCATTAGCGTTTGCTGGTTTAGCTGCAATGCATTCTGGGATACCTGAGCTTCGCAAGTTCGCACCTCTCGAAGCATCCTTGGCCAAAGGGGCGGAGCAAGTACACATGCGGGAATTTTATCTGTACTTGGCGAATATGTGGACTTTAAATTGGAACAATACTTCGGCGACCGTTGATAACATTTCACGAGGACACAAGTACAGACAAGAACGCATATTGAGAAACAGCCCAGCTGATTGGTGGAGAGGAGACAGAGTGATGAAGTCAATGATGACATGGGGGTGGCCTTCGAAGGACATCGTTGGATTTTTAACGACCACAGAGAGTCAGGACCTCGCTTTAACATCTCATCCGAAAGACAGCGCTCAGTATAGAGTCCCTTTCACTATACTGGGGCGTTAGGACCAAGTGTGCCGCAAGCCTGCGTTTGAGTGAAGGTCTCGACCGTTAGATCGCCCCCTGGGGGCTGGCTGCAGTAAAAGTCATAAAGCCCGCCTCCTCCGTGTTAATGAAGGAGACTTGAGCCCAAATATAAAAAATTATTACACTTGCAATAAAATGTCCCGAAAGATGGTTCTGGTGGATTAAGGCACTGGTTATTGTGCTGAAATAGGTGCAGATCTTCATTTGTGTAAACAGTTTGTTTTTAGCAGTAATTTAATGCTGGGCGTGTCATCGTGATTGACAGCTGTGATTGACAGTTTCTCAAAGCAGCGCGTCTGAGCTTCGGCAGGAGACTGAAGTGTTATTATTCGATTTCTGTGTTATTTTACCATGATAAAATGAGTTCAGCAGTAAACTACAGTTTCTGACATACATGATCTGGTGGAACACTGTTTATTCGCTAAGGTCAGGGCTTTTTTCGGGCTTTATTTGCTGATACACGCCTAGCCACCCAGATAGCAAAATACACTCGAGCCATTTCCGGCTAGATTCTCGCCTGCCGGAGACTTACCCCTCAGAGCTCAGACTGACTACCTCTGCTGGACCCACTCCGGATGCCTGGACTCACTGCCCGCGACGCCGCGAGTAGGTTTTGCGCTGCGGTCCTGAGCTGGCGCGATTCAATATATAAAACCCTCATATTTGTTAACGTTATTACATCTATTTGTGTTGATATGACAGCAAACGCATGCTGAGAAGTTTGGGGGGCGTGGTTGATTTTACATAAAGCGTTTGATTGGAAGCTCGACTCTGCTCATTTTCGCGGCTCCTCCTCTGGCTCCATCAGACAATCCTTCTGCGCATGTCAAGGCTCCAATTTCAGCAGTCTTTTGCGACAGTTTGTGCCCGTCAAGCAGGCGTTTTGCCCTCAAGGCGTTCAATGGGAAAAGGGGTTGTCGCGTCGTCCATATTTTTTACAGTCATTGGTTAGGACCCACACAGACCGCAGGTTGAGCACCCCCTGCTGGTCCCACTAACACCACTTCCAACAGCAACCTAGCTTTCCCATGTGGTCTCCCATCCAGGTATTCACCTGGTGCAGCCCTGCTTAGCTTCAGTGGGCGACCATGTGAGAGTTGTAGAGAGTGAGCTGCCGGCAGTAAAACATGTGCAATCCAAAGTAAAACATGATCAAAAAGCTTGCTAATGAATAATGTCATGGATCACTTGATAGCTTAAGGTTTATTATGCAAGGTGTGACTGTAATAGCAGGGATATTTGACTTGAATGTGAACGTATCGGCTCTGTGTGTCTGCTGTTGTTGGTGTCAGGGATTTTTCCGGAGGACCATTCGTATGAAGCTGGAGTACGAGAGATGCGAGCGCAGCTGTAAGATCCAGAAGAAGAGTCGCAATAAATGCCAGTTCTGCCGCTTTCAGAAGTGCCTGATGCTCGGGATGTCTCACGACGGTGAGCGATGACACTAACACACACGGTTATTTCACTAAACTAAAACCAGCGGGCAAAAAAACACTCCCGTTAACCGAGATAGAATCAAAAATATGCTATAAACGCAAGTCAGTGCAGACACATGATGCAAGTGTTTGTGTTTGTGGAAAATTAGCGTTAGGTGAAAAACATCCTGTGAGTAAACTGGAGCAAGTGACAGGCTGCTTCACAATAGGTGTGCTCCTCATGCAAGACCACGCTAGACCTCATGTGGCTAGAGTGTTCGGCAGTTCCTGCATTGATGCTATGGACTGGCCTGCCTGTTCTCCAGATCCGAACCTAATTGAGCACATTTGGGATATCATGTCTTGGTCCATTCACCAATGGCAGGTTGCACCACAGACTGTCCAGGAGGTGGCGGATGCTTTAGTCCAGGTCTGGGACCATCCGCCACCTCAGCAGGAGCATGGCCAGGCGTTTTTTGGGAGGTCATACAGGCATGTGGAGAACACACACACTACTGAGCCTCATTTAGACGTGTTTTAAGGACATTACATGACACTTTGATCAGCCTGTAGTGTGTTTTTACACTTATATTAGGTGTGAATCCAAATCCAGAGCTCCATGGGTTAATAAATTTGATTTCTATTAATGATTTTTGTGTGATTTTGTTGTCAGCACATTGAACTATGTAAAGAGCAAAGTATTTAATAAGAATATTTCATTCAATCAGATCTAGGATGTGTTATTTTGGTGTTCCCTTTATTTATTTGAGCAGTGTATGAAACTAAAGACAATGTTCTTAAACTAAAGTGACCAAAAACCATTAACAAAACGAGCTAAAACTAAATTGAAATTTACCGCCAATAAAAATAAATTGTAAAATATTCAACACTGCGAAAAAGGATCGCTACTGTGGCTGATAATGCTAAATGTGTAAATCTAACATGATAATCTTGTACAAAACATCACGTTGTTTCATTACCAGATGTATAATATTTGAAGAAACATTCAATGGCGTATTTTTGGTGGCTGGTTAAACAATGTAATTGCTGCCTTCAACTTTTCTCTTTTTATTATTAATAATTTGTTTTTTTTTTATCTCTTTTTCAAATTTGCAGCCAATTTTAAAAAATAGTTTTGAATAAAATGAAATTTTAAATGAATTTAAAAAATAATTTAGAAATAAATTTAAAAATGAAAACTGTTATTTTATATATGCCGATGTGTTTTCAGCGATCCGCTATGGCCGTATGCCAGAGGCGGAGAAGCGTAAGCTAGTCGCAGGTCTGCTAGCTGGAGAAAGGGGCTCTCAGAACTCCAACGAGTCCGATCTGAAGACTCTGGCCAAACGGGTCAACAACGCCTACCTGAAGAACCTGAACATGACCAAGAAGAAGGCCAGAAACATCCTGACCGGCAAGACCAGCGCCAGCACGGTAACTCACTGCAGAACTGGACAAATTAAACCACTAACAGAAACATCATGTATAATGTAGATAAACACACTGCTGAAGTAGTTCCGGCAGGTTTCGAGCGCATCGCAGCTCCATATCACTCCACTGAATGATTATTTCACAGCTACAATGAACACAAATCACATCAGAACACAACAGAAGGAGGAGGAGACACTAGTGCTACACATAGGAGAAGCTTGAGGAGGACACACACCTGACTAATCAATTAATAGAAAATAACACATAACATAATCACCGCATCACCACCTCAGGTGTGCATTATTTTGTAATAATCAAATGACTCATGGTCAACTATTACTTGCATGATAAATACACACACACACCACACACACAAGCACATATACAGTAAAGTCAGAATAATTGATATTTTTCTTCAGCATATATTTCACTAATGATGTCGAACAGATTCAGGAATTTCTCACAGTATTTCCTCTAATCAGAGTTTCTGCAAGGTTTAATTTTTTTTTTTATGTTTTAAATCTCAAAATCTAAATTTAGTCTTTAAAAAGTCTTTAAATTGACTATAATATTGTATTGTAGGTCTTAAATCTTGTTTAACCTGGTCTTAATTGTCCTTTGTTCATGTATTGCTACACAATCTGGCCCAAACCCAACCCGCGCTCATTGTGGAAACGTAGCCCCGCGGACGTTTCTGCGGACCGCGATTTACGTCCCGGGAGGTACGTATTCGAGCGTTTTTTCTTTTCGCGGATCCGCGAGAGGCCGATGTGCTCGCGCCCGAGCCGTTCTCACGCGAAAAGCCGCCGGATCGGCCGACTCGGCCGCCCTCCTCTTCCTCCTCCTCCTTCCCTAAACCCGAGCGACGGTTCGCAAAAGCCGTCCAGAAAAAAAAAGCCCTCGTCTTCGATTTCGACCGCGTTTTTGGATCCCGTCGCGTTCTCGCCCTTATTTTTCGGATTCCGTTTTTCGTCTAACCTGATTTCCGGAACCTGCTGTTCCCCGGACTCGATCCTGGTCATCGTCCCCGCGGCCGGCTCCTCCTCCCCAGGGGCGTCCGCTCTGCCGACGCAACGCTGTGAGCTAAGCGGACAAACTGGTTGCATCGGGAAAGCCCTCCATTCGGAGGCGAGCCGTCAGCTGGCGAGCGCAAAGAGGAGGGGCGGAGCGGCGCCACACCGTCCCGCAGCGTTCGCTCAAAAAAAACTAAACGCGGCCTTGCGTACCTCCGGCCACGTAAATTGCGGTCTCCAGAAACGTCCGCGGGGCTACGTTTCCAGAATGAGCTTGGGTTGCCCAAACCCATACAATCAATCTCAATAAAACTTCAAACTTTTTATTTAAAAAGGTCATTTTTATTTAAAAAAGTCATTTTTTACTTTATTTATTATAATGGTTTAATTATTTTCCTTACAATAACATTTGTTTAAAGGTTCTCAATGTGTTTACTGCTGAAGACACTGACCTGGACAGATTGCTGTGCATATATTTAGTTTATTATAGGTTTTAAAACATTAGTTCATTTTAACAGAAATGATAAAGTTTAAGGTGTAAAACCTGCAGAAACCCTGTCTAATATCTGTTCTTCTGGAGAAAGTCTGATTTGTTTTATTTGGGCTAGAATAAAAGCAGTTTTTAACTGTTTTAAAGTCATGTTAAGCTTAATATTATTCGCCCCTTCAGCAATATTAGTGTTGGATTGTCTCCAGAACAAACCACTGTTATACAATGACTTGCCTAATTACCCTAACTTTACCCTAATTACCCTAGTGAAGCCTTTACATGTCACTGTAAGCTGAACACTAGTGTCTTGAAGAATATCTAGGCTAATATTATGAGCTGTCATCATGATGAAGAGAAAATAAATCAGTGATTAGAGATGAGTTATTAACAATATTATGTGCAGAAATGTGTGCTTATTTCAGTTTAACCCTTTATTAAGTCTTCTGTGTTTTTCTCAGCCGTTTGTGATCCACGACATGGACTCTCTGGTGCAGGCGGAGAACGGGCTGGTCTGGAACCAGGTGATCCACGGAGCGCCGCCCAATAAGGAGATCGGAGTTCACGTGTTTTACCGCTGTCAGTGCACGACCGTGGAGACCGTACGAGAGCTGACCGAGTTCTCCAAGAGCATCCCGGGCTTCATCGACCTCTTCCTCAACGACCAGGTGACTGTCCCTCCTCCTCACAACCGGCGGAGCTATCAGACATTTAGGGTGGGGCTGTCAGTCCTTTAGGACAGAGCTATCAGTTATTTAGGGTGGAGATATCAGTCTTGGGGTGGGTCTCTCAGTCATTTAGGGCTGAGCTATCAATCCTTTAAGGCGGGGCTATCAGTCATTTAGGGCGGAGCTATCAGTTCTTTAGGGTGGAGCTATCAGTCATTTAAGGTGGAGATATCAGTCTTGGGGTGGGGCTCAGTCATTTTGGATGGAGATATCAGTCTTTTGGGGTGGGGCTGTCAGTCATTTAGGGCGGAGCTATCAGTTCTTTAGGGCAGGGCTATCAGTCATTTAGGGCTGAGCTATCAATCCTTTAAGGCGGGGCTATCAGTCATTTAGGGCGGAGCTGTCAGTCTTTTATGGTGGAGCTATCAGTCATTTAAGGTGGAGATATCAGTCTTGGGGTGGGGCTCAGTCATTTAGGGCGGAGATATCAGTCTTTTGGGCTGGGGCTGTTTGTCATTTAGGGCGGGGCTGTCAGTCATTTATGGTAGCGCTGTCAGTCCTTTAGGGCAGGAAAATCAGTCGTTTAGGGCAGAGCTATCAGTCCTTTTGGGCAGGGCTATCAGTTTTTTAGGGTGGGGCTGTCAGTCCTTTTGGGCGGGGCTGTCAGTCCTTTAGGGTGGGGCTATCAGTCCTTTAGGGTGGGGCTATCAATCTTTTAGGGCGGGGCTATCAATCCTTTAGGGCGGGGCTATCAGTCCTATAGGGTGAGGCTATCAGTCCTTTAGTTAATTACACAACAGCACGTTTACGAACTATTTTGTTGTCTCGAGACGTAACCACTTCTGCTCCTGCAGGTGACGCTGCTGAAATATGGCGTCCACGAGGCCATCTTCGCCATGCTGCCGTCACTCATGAATAAAGACGGGCTGCTTGTTGCAAACGGACGGGGATTCGTGACGAGAGAGTTCCTCCGCAGTCTGCGCAAACCCTTCAGCGAGATCATGGAGCCCAAGTTTGAGTTCGCGGTCAAGTTTAACGCACTGGAGCTGGACGACAGTGACCTCGCTCTGTTCGTCGCCGCAATCATCCTGTGTGGAGGTGAGAGCGATTGGCGATATATACTGTACATCAAGTGCTGTTTATTGCAATATTGATATAAATGATGATAAATCATACGTATTCACAGTAAAAACTAAAGGATCTTTAGAGGAGAGGGTTACTTTTTTGTATTATTTAATTGTGTTTTGTACAAAAAAAAGCAGTTAAAGTACATATGAAGTCAAAACTAACCATGTTGATTTTGTTAGCATACATCGCTGGTTTTGTAGTGATCAATTAAATTGTGCACGTCATTAAGAAAACAAAATGGTTTGCCCTTGTTCCTGTTTGTTTTGAGCTACATTCTCAGAATCGGACGGTCTGAGGTATTGGGCATGGCTAATGTACTTAACCACGCCCCTCCAGCTGTCAGGTTGTGTCCAGTTGTAATAACGCTCATCTTTTCCCCAACAACCAATCAGCATGCAGTAGAAAAAACAAGCCACGCCTATATTTTTCTCATTTAATATTCTGTTTCTCTAGGAACTGCGTCACAATACGAAAAAATCTAATAAACAGTCGCAACTTCCAGTTCATTTGCACTTAAATATAACATTTAATTTATTCATAGAGCATCTGTATTTTTAACTATTTTCTCGCCAGCGTCAATTACAAATTACGATTCGCCATTGACGTATTTTTACGCCGTGTTTTATGTATTAGGTATTTTAGGACTTATGGCTCTGAAATATAATGGCTGAGACACACCAAGCCTACGTTCGGCCATAATTTTGCTACATTTCTCAAATATTTGCAAACAATATAGATTATTAGATTTTTAGAAATATTTGCAGGTGTGAATTCCTCCCTGGCGAAGAACAATTACTTTGATAATGGTATTGAGCACTGCTTTGTTTACGCTTTGCATGTGTATCGGAAGTTTTTTTTTTTTTTTGTTGAATGAGAAAACAGATAATGCCCCCTACTGGTGTAGAAAGACAAATCCTCTAACGGAAGGTCAGAACGAACTCTCGAATCAGTTGGCTTTTGTACGTTGGCTCTCATGTTTAGATTGCTCCCCCTAGTGATCCGTAAAAGAACTGCGACACAATTTCTCACCTATGCCGTCCCCTAGTGATCCGTAAAAGTAGAGACAAAATTTATCACCCATATCTATTGCCCCCCCCCCTCCCCTCTTGTCATTCATAAAAGTACTGGGACAATTTATCGTGTGCCAAAATTGCGCCCCCTAGTGATCCAAAAAATTACCACGACAAAATTAACACCCATGCCTAGATTGCACCCCCTAGTGATATGTACTATTGCTGGGACAAATTTTATCACCCATGTCTACATTGCACCCCCTAGTGATTTTTAAAAGTACTGCAAACAAAATGTATCACCCATGCCTAGATTGTGCCCCCTATTAATCCATAAAATTGCTGGGACAAAATTTATCACCCATGTCTTCATTGCGCCCTCTAGAGATTTGTCAACCTACTGCGAAGAAATTGATCACCCATGCGTAGATTGCACCCCCTAGTGATCCGTAGAATTGCTGGGACAAAATTTATCACCCATGTCAACATTGTGGCCCCTAGTGATTATTTAAAGTACTGCGAACAAAATGTATCACCTATGCCTAGATTGTGCCCCCTAGTGATCCACAAGAGTACTGCAACAAAATTCATCACCCATGCCTAAATTGCGCCCTCTAGTAATCTATAAAAGTACTTAGACAAAATGCAACACCCATGCTTGGATTGCACCCTCTAGTGATCCATAAAACTAAAGTTTATCACCTATGCCTAGATTGCGCCCCCTAGTAATCTGTAAAAGAACCGCGTCAACATGTATCACTCATGTCTACTTTGCACCCCCTAGTAATTCGTAAAAGTTGTGCAACAAAATGCTAATTTAGCGTATTTGCGTATAGATCGTCCAGGCCTCATGAACGTCCATCAGGTGGAAAAGATCCAGGACAGCATCCTCCAGGCCCTGAATCAGCACCTGCAGCTCAATCATCCCGACGGACGCTTCATCTTCCCCAGACTGCTGCAGAAGCTGGCGGACCTGCGGCAGCTGGTGACGGAGAACGCTCAGCTGGTGCAAAAGATCAAGAAGACGGAGTCCGAGACCTCGCTGCACCCGCTGCTGCAGGAGATCTACAGGGACATGTACTGACTGCCTGTCCAATCAACCGTGGAGATACCATCCGGAGAAACCCTTATTTCTACGTGAAGTGAGGATTTTGAACTGAACTCTTAAAAAGAGACAGAGTGTTCTGCAATGGAGCGTTGTGCAGGTCGTAAGTAAAACTGTTTCACACTAAACGCAAAGTTAACAGGGTGTGATTGTTATCGATTACTCGCAGGGTGTTATTCAACTCGTGCAAATTTTTTATTGAGGCGAATAACAGATGCATTACGCATTTTGTATGATTTGTGTTGTGTGATGCAAATTCGCTTCTATATAATTATAGTACTTAAATTTATTTAAAACTACATGCGACGCTGAAACACAATTTAAAGCTATCTTTTCCATGTTGAAAGGAGTCTATGTTAAAAGGAATCTACCAACAATGTTCTAAACATTTAGTGTGCGAAATGTTTTAGTTTTGGAAATATTTTCAATTTTTGAGGCGCCATGGCCAAACAACAACATGAACTACGATGACGATGATCACCTCAGGGGCTAATTATGTGCTTTATTCAGTGTTAAATGCTACTAATGTGAGTTTGAACACCATTTTACGTGACATTTATTGTTATACTGAATGCGGAAGCAGATAGTTCACCTCAGATTTAGAAAATAAAACAAGTAGCAAACATGTAGTTTAAAAAAACGTTAGAACGTTTTCTACACGAACCCAGGATTTCGAACTAAACTCTAAAAAGAGACAATTTTTGTAATAGAGCGATGTGTTTAAAAGTTTAAAATTGCACGATTAAAATAGATTACTCGAGGGATGTTTTTCACCTTGTGCAAATTTTTGGTTCGAGTTAAATTTTTTTTATTGCCGTTGAAGTGAATAACAGATGCATTGCACATTTTGTATGATTTGCGTAGTGTGATGGAAATTCGCTTCTATATAATTATACTTCTTAAGTTTACGTTTGGTGTGAAGTCAGCATTACGCTGTTTCAGAACTACACAACGCTGCGACAATCAATTAAAAGCTATCTTTTCCATGTTGAAAGTAGTCTGTGTTAAAAGGAATCTACTAAAAACGTTCTAAGCATTCGATGTGCGAGACTTTTATTTTAGAAATATTTTCTATTTTCGAAGCATTGTTTCCAACCAACATGAACTACAATGACAAAGATCACCTCAGGTGCTGATGATGTGCTTTATTCAGTGTTAAATGCTACTAATGTGGGTTTGAATACCATTTTACGTGACATTTATTGTTATACTGAAACCAGATAGTTCACCTCAGATTTAGAAAATAAAATAAGTAGCAAACATATAGTTAAAAAACATTGGAACGTTTTCTACGCAAACCCAGGATTATGAACTAAACTCTAAAAAAAGACGGAGTTTTCTGCATTAGAGTTATAAGTTTGTGCAGGTCGTCAGTGAAACTGGTTCGCACTAAACGCAAAGTTAAAATTGCGCGATTATTACAGATTACTTGAGGGATGTTTTTCACCTTGTGCAATTTTTTTGCTCAAGTTTAATTTTTGTTCATTGCAGTTGAGGCAAATAACAGATGCATTGCACATTTTGTATGATTCGTATTGTGTCATGCAAATTCGCTTCTATATAATTGTAGTATTTAAGTTTAAATTTGGTGTGAGGTCAGCATTTCACTGTTTCCGAACTAAATGCGACGCTGCGACACAATTTAAAGCTATCTATTCTACGTTAAAAGGACTAAAAATGTTCTAAACATTCGATGTGCGAGATTTTTATTTAAAAAAAATTTTCTAGATTTGAGGCATCGTAGCCAAACAACAACATGAACTACGATGACAAAGATCACCTCAGGTGCGGATGATGTGCTTTAGTCAGTGTTAAATGCTACTAATGTGAGTTTGAATACCATTTTACGTGACATTTATTGTTATACTGAAAGCACTAGCAAATAGTTCACCTCAAAACACATAATTAAAAAAAAACATTGAAACGTTTTCTACGCATATCCAGGATTTTGAAATAAACTGATAAGAGACAGAGTTTTCTTCAGTAGAATGATAAGTTTGTGCAGGTCGTCAGTGAAACTGGTTCACACCAAATGCAAAGTTAAAATTGTGCGATTAATATAGATTACTCGAGGGATGTTTTCCACCTCGTGCAAACTTTTGGTTGGAGTTGAATTTTTTTTTGTATTGCAAATGAGGCAAAAAACAGATGCATTGTGCGTTTTACATGATTCGGGTCATGTGATGCAAATTCGCTTCTATATAATTGTAGTACTAAAGTTTACGTTTGGTGTGAAGTCCGCATTACACTGTTTTCAAACTACATGCGACGCTGCGACACATGATTAAAAGCTATCTTTTCCACGTTGAAAGGAGTCTATGTTTAAAGGACTCTACTAAAAATATTGTAAACATTCGATGCGCGAAAGTTTTATTTTAGAAATGTTTTCTATTTTTGAGGTGTCGTGGCCAAACAACAACATAAACTACGATGATGATGATCACCTCAGGTGCTGGTTATGTGCTTTATTCAGTGTTATATGCTACTAATGTGAGTTTGAACCATTTTAAGTGACATTTTTCGTTATACTGAATGCGAAAGCAGATAGTTCACCTCTAAAATAAAAGAAGAAAAGATTTAGCACTTGTTAGAAAGTTTTCTACGCGAACCCAGGATTTCGAACTGAACTCTAAAAAGCGAACCAGTTTTCTACAATAAAGCAAAACAGAGTTTTTGCAGATCAAAGAGACGTCGGTGAAATTTTTCTTTAGCTTTAAATAGCACCACAGCATTCCTTTTATTAGCATGTATAAAAATTTTTAGTAAATCCTGTGACAAAATCGTCATTATCAATAAGAAAAAATGCCTACGCATGATAACGCGACAAACGCTATCTCGCCAACTGAAGTACCAAAGGTTGCTGCTAGTAGTAAAATCGTTATTATTTACTCTCTTTGTTTTGAGTCGGTCCACAAGCTAGTCGTTGAGCTTTACTAGCCTGTCTTTTTGTTGTGCTGCCAAAAACACTACGCAATTGAAATGTATGTTTCATGGGAACAATCCTCAGTGCTGAAAACATCGTCGTAGCTTCTTTTAAAGTAACTATTATTAAGCAAGATGTGTTTTCCTAAGGACTAGTATCTACATGTCGACAGTTTAAACTAACTTTAACTAACCTTCTGATTCGTTTTGTTAAATTGTGCTAATGTCTGCTAGCGCCCCTTGTGGTGACTCTGAGAATGCAGCATTATTTTTAGATGCCTTTCATTACAAAATTACGCTTGAAACTGAGTTTTCGCTCTGCCAAAAAATATCTGTTGACTTTTTTATGAATCAAAACAATCATTTGCACTTTAAACATCTGAATTTCTGATAAAAAATTTCCGTAAACCAAATTATTTGCTAGTCATAATCGCTTTAAGCTGGTTTTTCACACCTGAACAACATTAAAACAACTCGCAAACCTCAAACGTTTCCTATTATAATTATTTTTATTTCTGTGAAATGATGCTGTGATCGCATGTATATCCGAGTTCAGATCGCTGATTGATTATCTGACTCCAGAGTTTTATTAATATTATTTAATAACAGTTTTGTTAGGTAGTTTTCTGAATCAGAGGCTGCGGTCGAGCATATCCTCATGTAAAGCCATGTTCACGTATGCCACCTTTAACCTTTCCACATTAGGCCTCAGTGTGAGGTCATTTCCTGTGAGTGCTGCTAACTGCTTCCTGTCCACATGACATGCCGAATCTGTGTGTTGTGTCCATGTCTTCCTGTTTCCTGGAAATGTGAACGATTCTTCCATCTGAGCGACCGAACGCTTTTGTAAAACATCTGAAGAGCAGCTGAATAAAACTACAGGGTCAAACGTCACATGCTGATTGGTTTTTGGCTGTGTTTTTGTAAATGAACATCTCACACAGGGCTTATTTATCAGGTAAGTGCTGGTTTTAGAGCGGGTGTGGGAAATAAGACCTATCCAATTCGAGCAGTATTACTTAAAACATTTTCATCCAATGAGAAACAAGAGAACAAAATCGAGACAGATGCTCATGTTCTGGAGAGAATAATAATAATAGAAGAAGAAGAATACTGAAGCACTGTGATGACGGACTCACGGATATAAGCACGCTCACTGATGAAGCTCATGCGCAAAGTTTACTCACTATTAACAGGGGTTACAGCTGAGTTTAAGCACATTTTTAATCAGATATTTAAAAGATTATGCTACTCAGTTTTGGGGGATAACCTGGCTGTTTTAGAGCCTTGCTGGGAAAATCTGTGTTTTCTGAGAGTTTTGTGGAGTAAACTGGGTGTTTTGATAGTCTTGGTGAAAAATCTCAATGTTTTGACAGTCTTTGTGAATAATCTGGGTGTTTTAAGTGTATTGGGGAATAATCTGGGTGTTTTGAGAGTCTTAGTGGAAAATTTCAATGTTTTCAGAGTCTTGTGGAGTAATCTCAGTGTTTTGAGAGTCTTGCTGGGAAAAATCTGGGTTTTTTTGAGAATCTTTGGGAATAATCGGGGTATTTCGAGAGCCTTGGTGGAAAATCTCAATGTTTTGACAGTCTTTGGGAATAATCTGGGTGTTTTCAGTATTTTAGGGGGATAATCTGGGTGTTTTAAGAGTCTTTGTGAATAATCTGGGTGTTTTAAGTGTATTGGGGAATAATCTGGGTGTTTTGAGAGTCTTAGTGGAAAATTTCAATGTTTTCAGAGTCTTGTGGAGTTATCTGGGTGTTTTAAGTGTATTAGGGAATAATCTGGGTGTTTTAGGTGTCTTGTGGAGTAATCTGGGTGTTTTGAGAGTCTTGTTGGGAAAGTCTAGATGTTTTTAGAGTCTTTGGTAATAATCTGGGTGTTGTGTGTGTTTTGGGGAATAATCTGGGTCCTTTTTAGAGTCTTGCTAAGAAAATCTGGGTGTTTTTAGAGCCTTGGGGGAAACTCAAGGTTTTGAGGGACTTGGGGAATAATCTGGGTGTTTTGAGAGCCTTGGTGGAAAATCTCACTGTTTTGAGAGTCTTGGAGAGTAATCTCAAGGTTTTGAGATTCTTTGGGAAAAATCTGGGGTTTTTGAGAGTCTTGAGGAGTAATCCATGTGTTTTGAGAGTCTTGGGGAATCATCTCAATGTTTTGAGAGTCTTGGGAAATAATCTGGGTGTTTTAAGTTTCTTGGGGAATAATCTGGGTGTTTTGAGAGTCTTGGTGGAAAATCTCAAGATTTTGACAGTCTTGGGGTATAATCTGGGTGTTTTAAGTGTATTAGTGGAATAATCTGGGTGTTTTAGGTGTCTTGGGGAATAATATGGGTGTTTTAGGTGTCTTGGGGAATAATCTGGGTGTTTTGAAAGTCTTGGTGGAAAATCTCATGGTTTTGACAGTCTTTGGGAATTATCTGGGTGTTTTAAGTGAAGTTTCACAAACTAATTTCAAGAGGAGCACGTGATATGATTGACTGCAGCTGGCCTCCCATCTACATTCATTAGTTAGCCAATCAGATTAATCCAAATTTACTATAACTAGCCTAGCTAGAACTACTCCCTTACCTTGATTTTCCAAAAAAAAAACCATCCACTCCTTCTCCTCTTTTCCTCCTTTACCACGAGGAGCTCTCGAGAACCCCCTGATCTCGTACCCCCCTCACATGCTCTATGGACCAGGCTGCAGTCCTGGGCTCAACTATCTCTGAGCTCATGGTTCTCTCCCGGGACAGCTTGCCAAACCTGCTAAAAGTTGTCAAGCAATATCTAAGTGTGAACTCGTGAAGTGTCTTGGGGAATAATCTGGGTGTTTTGAGAGTCTTGCTATGACAATCTAGTTTTTTTGAGAGCCTTCGGGGGAAATCTCAAGGTTTTGAGCGTCTTAGAGAATAATCTCAATATTTTGAGAATCTTGGGGAGTAATCTGGGTGTTTTAAAAATCGGGGTTTTTCAAATAAAATCAGGCCTTTATTTGTCACATACACTTTCGTATAGTGAAATTAACCCCCCCCCACCCCCCCCCCCCCCCCCCCCCCCACCCGACCGTACACAAACATCACGATTTTTAGGGGAAGACAGGTCACAGAAGGTAGCCTTTCCCCAATGTTTTGGGAGTCTTGGGTGGTAATCTGGGTGTTTTATAGTCTTGTGGAGTAATCTGGGTGTTTTGAGAGTCTTGGGGAATGATCTGGGTGTTTTAGTAGCTGTTCTGAAGGCAATTGGAGAGTTTTTAGGGAACATCAAACTGTTTTTGTGGGACACGTGGTGTTTTAGAGGCTAATTTGGGAGTTCTGGGAGAGGTTTTGGGAGAGCACTTGTTTGGGGCATCATCTGGATGTCTTTGCAGGTGTGTTGGGTCTCCGGCGTGGTGCTCCTCAGCTTCAGAAGGTGTTTGACAGGTCAGTGTTTTGTGTGTTGTATCAGTGTCAAATGTTTCCGTGGTTACGTGCTCTTCCTCTGAGTCTATTCTTCTGGCAGGTTATTTCCTGTCCGTTACGTGTATTTCCTCCTCAGCTGAAGGTCATGACCCTTCGTTCTGTTTGGTTTTATTTCCTGTCTGTACGGTCATTATTTATCGCTTATTATGAACTGAGTATGAGAGGAAGAGTGATCACGGGTCAGAGGAGAACACAAGTGATTGTGTGTGTGTGTGTGATTGTGTGTGTGTGTGTGTGTGTGTTGTGTGTGTTGCAAGGAGTTACAATCTTCTAGACCAAAAAAGTCTTATGAATCTTTTTGAGGAATGAAATGTTATGCAAGATCAGATTGTGTGAGATTATTATGATTGATTTATGATTATTGATCTTTTTTATACCTAATTAGAGCTTAAAGTGAAGTATTTAACTGCTAATGTAGCTCGATTACAATCAGAGACATAACGTAAGAGCTTGAGTCTTGTATTCAGGACTTTATTTTAGCTGTAATAGTCAAGAATTAAAGACATGGCTCAGTCTGTCAGGGCTGGACAGAATACTCAGACAGATCCTGCTCAGACTGAAAGTTTAATTGGTAAAGAACAAAGGCAGCTGCCGTTCGCCGGCCGTCGATGGGGAACGCAGTCTGGATACCCTCTGGACCTGTGCCGAGTGGGCGCTGGAGCTGGCAAGCATGGAGGTAGAGGCTGGATTCAACACAGCGGGGTGACTGCGCAGATCACAGGTAAGGCATCAAACAGCGAACTTGACTTTGACAGGACTAAACTAGACAAGACTAATAGTGTAAGAGAAGAATAATGTAGCGTCGGCCAGCTAGTAAGTGCTGTGCAGGTAAACCTCACTCCTCTGACCTCTAAAGAAAGGTGCTTTAGCGACAGATGCTACAGGCCATGGTCTTTAGCCTCCTTAGTAGAGCAACAGACTCCCATGCGGAAGGTCATCAGTTCGATACCAGCTTGGAGCGGGTTGGGTGATGTAGGACCAACGGGGTTACATTGGTGCGGTGACCCGGATGGGAGTGAGGCTTAGGGCAGTGAGTGTAACGGAGGCCAGCTAGTAAGTGCTGTGCAGGTAAACCTCACTCCTCTGACCTCCTTAGTAGAGCAACCGACTCTCATGTGGAAGGTCATCGGTTCGATACCAGGTCGGAGTGGGTTGGGTGACGTAGGACCGGCAGAGTTACATTGGTGCCGTGACCTAGATGAGAGTGAGCAGGGCCGGAGCAAGCTGAACTGCTGCTCTAGGCAGAGGACGATCATGCCGCCCTCAACCCCAATGTGACCAGTTACGTAAATGAAGTGAGCGCTTTTTTTCCGGCGCTCTATGCGCGGATATAACTGAGGACGCGCGGGTGCTGAGGGAGGAAGGGAGGTGTCGCGGACTGGCGGACACTGCCTTCTCCATTATGCCGCCCTATGCATGGATATAACTGAGGACGCACGGGTGCTGAGGGAGGGAGGGAGGTGTCGCGGACACTGCGCTCTTTATCCTGCCGCCCTATGCGCGGATATAACTGAGGACGCGCGGGTGTCGTGGACCTCAATTCTGCTGCCCTATGCGCGGATATAACTGAGGACACGCGGTTGCTGATGGGGGTGACGCTGACCCCGCCCTCTCTATTCTATCGTGTATGCGCGAATATATCTGAGGACGCGGGTGGTGAGGGAGGTGTCGCAGACATAACTGAGGACGCAGGTGGTAAGGGAAGTGTCGCAGACGCCGCCCTCTCTATACTGCCGTCCTAGGCAGTATATCCTAGGCTAGGTCGCCTCTATGGATGCGCTGGCCCTGGGAGTGAGGTTTAGGGGGGTGAGTGTAACGGAGGCCATGTAGTAAGTGCTGTGCAGGTAAACCTCGCTCCTCTGACCTCTAAAGGTGCTCTAGCGACAGATGCTAGAGGCCATGGTCTTTAGCCTCCTTGGTAGAGCAACCGACTCCCCTGCGGAAGGTTGTCGGTTCGATACCAGGTCGGAGCAGGTTGGGTGGTGTAGGACCGGCAGGGTTACATTGGTCCCGTGACCTAGATGGGAGTGAGGTTTAGGGGGGTGAGTGTAACGGAGGCCATGTAGTAAGTGCAGGTAAACCTTACTCCTCTGACCTCCTTGGTAGAGCAACCAACTCCCATGTGGAAGGTCATCGGTTCGATACTAGCTCGGATCGCGTTGGGTGATGTAGGACCAGCGGGGTTACATTGGTGCCGTGATGCGGATGGGAGTGAGGTTTAGGGCAGTGAGTGTAACGGAGGTCAGCTAGTAAGTGCTGTGCAGGTAAACCTCACTCCTCTGACCTCTAAAGGTGCTCTAGCGACAGATGCTAGAGGCCATGGTCTTTAGCCTCCTTGGTAGAGCAACCGACTCCCATGCGGAAGGTCGTCAGTTGATACCAGCTCGAAGCGGGTTAGGTGGTGTAGGACCGGCGGGGTTACATTGGTGCCATGACCCGTATGGGCGTAAGGTTTAGGGGGGTGTAACGGAGGCCATGTAGTAAGTGCTGTGCAGGTAAACCTCACTCCTCTGTTGCTTTAGCTGCTAGATGCTAGAGGGCATGGTCTTTAGACTCCTTGGTAGAGCAACCGACTCCCATGTGGTCGCCAGTTCGATACCAGTTGAGAGCGGGTTGGGTGGCGTAGAACCGGCGGGGTTACAATAATGCATACGAAGTCACAATAATCTGCCAATTAGCTTCGATAAAGGGCACGTATATGTAGAGGAGAGAATCAGATGATGGTAATGCGTGTGCACCCGCGCTGAATGTAAGAGGAAACCGTCGAGACAGAAAACAGATCATGACAGAGCGGCCCAGATCAAACCTGGCCCATGACACAAGCACACACTAATACCTGTTTTACAGTGACTAAATCCACTCCGTTATGTTCTGTTACTGTAAACTTCAGTATTTTGAGAAGCAATAAGAAATCATTTCGCATTCTAATACTGGTTAATCTTAATTGAGTAGAAACGATGTGGACAGTATGCATGCATGAGTGATCCTGACTTCATTCGCAGTTATCTTGTATTAAGTGTAAATGTTTTGCCTGGTTTAATAACACAATAAATGACGACAAGTCTTAAATTGGCAGCACAGTGGTGCAGTGGGTAGTAGGATCGCCTCACAGTAAGAAGGTCCCTGGTTTGAGTCTCGGCTAGGTCAGTTGGCGTTTCTGTGTGGAGTTTGCATGTTCTCCCGGTGTTGATGTGAGTTTACTCCAGGTGCTCTGGTTTCCCCCACAGTCCAAACACATGCGCTATAGGGGAACTGATGAGCTAAACTGGCCGTAGTGAATGTGTGTGTGGAGGTTTCCCAGTGATGGGTTGCAGCTGGAAGGGCATCCACTGTGTAAAACATATGCTGGATAAGTTGGTGGTTCATTCCACTGTGTTGACCCCTAATAAATAAGGGACTAAGCCGAAAAGAAAACGACTAAATGAAGTTCTGTGCTGAGGCCTGGGTAAATGTTCTTATTTCAGTGTAACTCTCTCACCGCACCGCACCGGCAGATCTTTGGACATGTTCCTCGTCTGTATCTTATTAAATCAGTCATTTATTGTTGCACAGTGTGTGTGATGTATGATCTTTGTTTGTTTTGAGGGTGTGAGGGTGTGTGTGTGAGTGAATGTGCTCCACAGATGTTGGATAAACAATGTGTCCCTGGGCCGGCATAACTCTCTCTCTCTCTCCATTGTGTGTGTGTGTGTGTGTGTGTTATTTGTGCGTCTGCTCGCCCCACGCTGAGCTCCAGCTCACAACAAAAGCGTTTTGAGGGTTTCGAGCAGGACTTCGGTCACATGAGATGCTGAAATCTTCCTAATACAGATTAGACGGATCAGCACTCAAATCATGAGGCCTCTGGAGGAGCGCAGAAGCAGCGGTGAGAAAGCTGACTACTTCACTCAACACAACACAACACCAACACTGAAATACAATGATGAGAAATTCACAATAAACGAAGACTAAAACTAACAACAGTCACTGAAACACTAAAATAAAATAATAAATAGCAAATAATTTCATTATTAATAAGCAAGAGACTAAGCCAAAAGAAAATCAATGAATTATTAGTAAGCACTCAATCTGTGGTGTTTAATGTGACCTGGGGCTGTTTAGTGGAGCACCAGTAGATGGCGCCAAACACCTCAAGTCTAAAAATAAAATGAAATAAAAACTAATGTAAAAGTGCTCAACTATAAGAGGCTTGGCTGCTGCTGAATCAGTGTTTTCCACACATTATTCAACACACACATTCTCACGTTCATCAGCATGATGTATCTCTCCACTGGTTGTCATTTGATTCAGTAATGCTGGGTGTGTTGACATCTGCAAGTGCTCTCAGTACATCACTCCTGTTTCTGACCACTGTTTCCTCTGTAATCTGACTACTTTCCCGCCCTCGTGTGGTCAGATATGGAAACACACTCTGCATTTCGCTTGTTAAGAGTCCTGCAGTTCATGTTTTACACAACTGTGTTGTATTACAGAGCTGGACGACAGTGTCCATAGCCTAGTACAATATCACTCCAGCAGAAGTGCAAAGTACAAGTGGAGGGAAAGCACAAAGCATTTGATTTGTAATTTACTCGAGTAATTAAAATAATAGTGCTCACCGATGAGTGTTTATTTAGCAAGAAAGCTGAATTGAAACCCCAATAACTCTTTAATTAGCAATAGCTGTAATGAACACACTGATGATTTATGAGATGAGCACATTCAGATGCTGCACACCGTTCAGATCCGTTTGTACAATCTGTGAATCGTTTACTAGTTACTCCGAACGAATCTATTTAATTTGTCAATAATTTAACAGAGAGTAGACTCCCTCTAAGTGGATCATTTGAATCACTGAATCATTTACTGAAGGCTCACTCTGAATCAATCATTCGACTCATTTACTAAAGAGTAGACTCGCTCTGAATTGTGAATGGTTTACTGGAAACTGTGTTTGGATCATTTTAATCGGTGAGTCATTTACAGGAAATGTACTCTGAGTGGATTATATAATAATCAGTGAATCATTTACATACAACTAACTCTGAATGGATCGTTTGAATCATTGAGTTGCTAACTAAAGACTCAACTGGTCATTTAAATCAGTGAATCATTTGATGGAGAGTAGACTCATTCTGAATGAATCATTTGAATCAGTGAATTGTCTACTGGAGACTAACTTTGATTCGGATCATTTTAATAAGTTTTTCACTTAATAGTAGAGGAGACTCACTCTGAACTGATCATTTGAATCCGAGAATCATTTACTGGACACTCACTCTGAATATATTATTTAAATCAGTGAACCATTTGCTGAACACTCACTCTGATCGGATCATTTGAATCAGTGAATCATTTACAGGAAATATTTAAATCAGCGAATCATTTACTGGAGAGTATACTCATTCTGAACTGCTCATTTGAATCAGTGAATCGTTTACTGGACACTCACATTGTTTGGCTCATTTTGATCAGTGAGTCATTTATTGGAGACTCACTTTTAATGGATCATTTGAATCAGTGATTCATTCACTGTATACATTTAAATCAGTGAATCATTTACTGGGGGCTTATTCTAAATGGATCCTTTTAATCAGTGAATTGCTAACTGGAACAAACAACAATAATTTTAATCAGTGAATCATTTACTAGAGTATTTATTACTGAATGAATCATTTGAATCAGTAAATCGTTTATTGGAGACTCACTCTGATTGGATTTTATTAATCAGTGAATCATTTACTGGATAGAAGAGTCATTCTAAATAGATCAAATGAATCAGTGAATCTTTTACTAAAAATTTACTCTGAATGGATCATTTGAATCAGTGAATCATTTACTGGACACTCAATTTGAATTGATCATTTGAATCAGTGAATCATGCACTGGACACTCATTCTGAATAGATCATTTGAATCAGTGAATCATTTACTAGACACTCAATCTTAATTGATCATTTGAATCACTGAATCATGTACTGGACACTCATTCTGAATAGGTCATTTAAATCAGTGAATCTTTTACTAAAAAGTCGCTCTCAATGGATCATTTGAATCAGTCAATCGTTTTCTGGACCCTGATTGGATTATATTGATCATTGAATCATTTTCAGGAATCATTTACAGTGGAAAAAACTGGAGCTTACTCTAAATGAATCACTTGAATCAGTGAATCGCTAACTGAATAAAAAAAGATAATTTTAATCAGTGAACCACTTACAGGAGACACACTTTGAACAGGTATTTTTAATCAGTTTATTGGAGAGTGGACTCACTCTGAATAGATTGTTTGAACCAGTGAAGCAGTTATTAAAATTTGTTCTGAATGAATTATTTGAATCAGTGAATCGTTTACTAGACACTCACCCTGACTGAATTATTTTAATCAGTGAATCATTTACAGGAAACTCACTCTGAATCGATCATTCAAATCAGTTAATTACACTCACTCTGAACTGATCATTTGAATCAGTGAATCATTTAATGGACACTTACTCTGAATGGATCATTTTAATCAGTGAATCCTTTAATGGACACTTACTCTTAATGGATCATTTTAATCAGTGAATCGTTTACTGGAGACTCACTCTGAATGGGCAATTTTAATCAATGAATCATTTACTGGAGACTCACTCTGAATGGGCAATTTTAATCAATGAATCATTTACTGAAGACTCACTCTGAATGGGCAATTTTAATCAATGAATCATTTACTGAAGACTCACTCTGAATGGGCAATTTTAATCAATGAATCATTTACTGGAGACTCACTCTGAATGGATCATTTTAATCAGTGAGTTGCTAACTAGAGAATCACTCTGAACGAATCATTTTTGTACAATATTTTGTTTTGGATAGTAATGAAGTCTAAAGTTGCCTGTACTGAAGTGAAGTAAAAAGACTTCATTACCGTCCTCTGCTGATTGATTATCAGATGGTGTTTAACCCTTCGTGCAGGTCTGTCCTGGTTCCCTCCTGACACACTGAATCACGGTCATGTTGTGTAACTTGTTGTGTTCTGCTGCTCTGGGATCAGTTGTGCCGAGTGTGTGTCGAGTTGTTTTGCATCATGACAGATGATTCCAGATCAGTGTTGAAGAGGGTTAAGAAGATTATGAGTGTGTTCAGAGATCAAGACACACACACACAGAGAGACTGCGGTAAGAAGAGCTTCACGCTACATTACAGTTATTATATTGTGCTGTTACGAGTGTGTGTGTGTGTGTGTGTGTGTGTGTGTGTGTGTGTGTGTGTGTGTGTGTGTGTGTGTGTGTGTGATGATGTGTGTGTTATAAGCAGATGAATGAATCAGGCCTGTGTGATTATGCTGGAATACTGGGAGACAGTGACGACAGTGATGACGGTAGAAACACACCATAATATTTACATCGATTTTACGCTTTAAGTTTCATGTTTTTAGAAATAATGTGCTTGTCCACAGATCCAAACCTAGCCAAGCAGTTAGCGGCTTCCTGGGAGAGTTTATCCATCATGGACAGACTGGGATTGAAGAGGTACAAACACATTAAAACACACACACACACAGAGACAGACAGACACTATCAGGCTGCTAATGCTAATGCTAACAGGAAGTGTATTTTCAGCAGTGTGGAGATGACGGAGCAGGAGGTGGAGGTGAGTCTTTTTACGTTTGTTTTTTTTTTGGTCTGATGCTATTTTTAAACATGCTGTAGGTTTCAGTTTAGCAGTTAATTAATTTAGTTTAGTTTTTATATGTTTAGTTGGCTTCAGTAGTTGTAGTTCAGCGTCGACCAGACTACAGTTTGCGGTGTACATTCACTATTGTGCAAATCTCTGTGATAAAAATTAAATAATAATTTGAACAAACTTTGAATCCAAAACCACATAAATGCAATGAATAACTATATTTTTATTAATTCTGCAAACCATTATTAATTTTACTAATTATTATTTAATTTAAGTTTGTTTTTCTGTGACTGTTGTTCGTTTTGTTTAGTGTTTGGCTTATGATGAATATTTTATTACATTCATTAATTCATTTTCTTTTTGGTTTAGCCACTTTATTAATCTGGGTTCACCACAACGGAATGAACCACCAACTATTCCAGCATATGTTTTACACAGCAGATGCCCTTCCAGCTGTACACACCCACACACACTCATACACTAAGGACAATTTAGCTTACCTAATTCACCTGTACCTATAGTCTTTGGACTCATGGGGGAAACCGGAGCACCCGAAGGAAACCCACGCCAACATGGGGAGAACATGCAAACTCCACACAGAAACACTAACTGACCCAGCCGAGGCTCGAATCAGCGACCTTCATGCTGTGAGGCGATCGAGCTCCCCACTACGCTACTGTGATGCCCTATTATTTTATCTCAGTTAATGAAAGTGTTTTTAGGGGCAGCATGGTGTCTCAGTGGTCGCCTCATAGCAAGAAGGTTGCTGGTTCGAGTCCAAACACATGTGCCATAGGTGAATTCATTCATTCATTCATTTTCTTGTCGGCTTAGTCCCTTTATTAATCCGGGGTCGCCACAGCGGAATGAACCACCAACTTATCAAGCTAGTTTTTACGCAGCGGATGCCCTTCAAGCCGCAACCCATCTCTGGGAAACATCCACACAGACTCATTCACACACTCATACACTACGGAAAATTGTCTTTGGACTGTGGGGGAAACCGGAGCACCCGGCGGAAACCCACGCGAGTGCAGGGAGAAAATGCAAACTCCACACAGAAACGCCAACTGAGCCAAGGCTCGAACCAGCGACCTTCTTGCTGTGAGGTGACAGCACTACCTACTGCGCCACTGCTTCGCCTGCTATAGGTGAGTTGAATAAGCTAAATTGGCCATAGTGTATGAGTGTGAATGAGTGTGTATGGGTGTTTCCCAGTACTTGGGTTGCAGCTGGAAGGGCTACATATGCTGGAATAGTTGGCGACTCATTCCACTGTGGCTACCCCTGGTTAATAAAGGGACTAAGCCAGGGGTGTCCCTCTCGGTCCTGGAGGGCTGGCGTCCAGCAGATTTGCCCCAACACACCTGCATGGATGTTTCTAGAAAGCCTAGTACGAGCCTGATTAGCTAGCTCAGGTGTGTCTGATTGGGGCTAGAACTAAACTTTGCAGGACACCGGCCCTCCAGGACCGAGTTTGGACACTCCTGAACCAAGCCAAAGGTAAATGAATGAATGAAAATGTTTTTCTAACCAACAGTTTTAGTGTTTGTTTACTAAAGTAGCACTGTCCTGCACACGCAGAGCGCGTTTACCCAGTTCGTGATGGGATTTCACTGCGACCAGTACACGCTAACGCAGCGTCTGCAGGCGGAGCGACACGACCGCATCGTAGCGGAGGAGAACCTGCAGAGAGAACTGCGGCAAACCAGAGACATGCTGCAGGTACCACACACACACACACTGTCTGAGGTGTGCTGGAGGTTGAGGGAGCATTGAGGAGGCGTTGTGGGAGTGTCTGGGGATAAATTGGGCAAGCTGTGGAAGTGTTGTGGGAATGTGTTGGGGTTGTTGCCGGTGGATTGGGGATGTTGTGAAATTGTTTTTAGGGTGTATTGGGAGTTTGTGGAAATGATGTGGGAATGTTTTGCGGATTTGTGGGAGCATTTTGGGGTGTACTGGAGATGTTGTGGAAGTGTTTTAGCAGTGTATTTGGGATGTTGTAGGAGTGTGTTAGGGTGTATTAGGGATTTGTGGACGTGTTGGGGTGCATTTGGGGACTTGATGGAGTGTTATGGAGATGTTGTGGAAGTGTTTTTGGAGTGTTGGGGGATAGATTGGCCAAGTTGTGGGAGTGTTTTAAGGGTGTATTGGGGATTTGTGGAAGTGTTGGGGATGGATTGGCGATGCTAGTGTTTTGGTGTGCATTGGGGATGTTGTCGAAGTGTGGTGGTAGTGTTTTGGGGATTGGTGGGAGTGTTTTGGTTGTATTTTGAGGATGTTGAAGAAGTGTTGTGGTAGAGTTTGATGGTGTATTGTGGATGTTGTGGGAGTGTTGGGGTTGTTGTGAGTGTTTTGGGGTGGTTTGAGGATGTTGTGGGAGTGTTTGGTGGTGTTTTGTGGATGTCACAGAAGTGTTGTTGAGAGGAATGTATTGGGCGTTTGTAAGAGTGTCGTGGAAGTGTTTGGGATGTTTAGAGAGTGTTGTTGGAGTGTTGTGGGTGGATTTGTGATGTTGTCAAAGTGATGTGAAGATGTTGTGGGAGTGTTGAGGATAGGTTGGGGATGTTGTTGGAGCGTTGTGGTAGATTGGGGATGTTGTTGAAGTGTTGGGGGCTGATTGGGGGTGTTTTGGGAATGTTATGGGTTTGTTGAGGTGGATTGGGGATGTTGTTGGAGTGTTGGGGGCTGATTGGGGTGTTTTGGGGATGTTGTGGGTTTGTTGAGGTGGATTGGGGATGTTGTTGGAGTGTTGGGGGATGATTGGGGGGTGTTTCAGGGATGTTGTGGGTTTGTTGAAGTGGATTGGGGATGTTGTTGGAGTGTTGTGGGTGGATTGGGAGTTATTTTGGGGTGTATTGGGGATGTTGACGAAGTGATGTGGAGATGTTGTGGGAGTGTGGGGTGTATTAGGGATGTTGTGGGATTATTGTGGATGTTGTGGGAATGTTTTGACAGCGTACTAGAGATGTTCTGGGAGTGTCGGGGGTATATTGGGGGTGTTTTGGGGATGTTGTGGGTTTGTTGAGGTGGATTGGGGATGTTGTTGGAGTGTTGGGGGATGATTGGGGGGTGTCTCAGGGATGTTGTGGGTTTGTTGAAGTGGGTTGGGGATGTTTTTGGAGTGTTGGGGGCAGATTGGGGGTGTTTTGGGAATGTTGTGGGTTTGTTGAAGTGGGTTGGGGATGTTGTTGGAGTGTTGGGGGCTGATTGGGGGGTGTTTTCGGGATGTTGTGGGTTTGTTGAAGTGGATTGGGGATGTTGTTGGAGTGTTGGGGGCTGATTGGGGGGTGTTTCAGGGATGTTGTGGGTTTGTTGAAGTGGATTGGGGATGTTGTTGGAGTGTTGGGGGCTGATTGGGGGTGTTTTGGGGATGTTGTGGGTTTGTTGAAGTGGATTGGGGATGTTGTTGGAGTGTTGGGGGCTGATTTGGGGGCGTTTTGGGGATGTTGTGGGTTTGTTGAGGTGGATTGGGGATGTTTTTGGAGTGTTGGGGGCTGATTGGGGGGTGTTTCAGGGATGTTGTGGGTTTGTTGAGGTGGATTAGGAATACTTTTGGGGTGTATTGGGGATGTTGACGAAGTGATGTGGAGATGTTGTGGGAATGTGGGGTGTATTAGGGATATTGTGGGAATGTTTTGAAGGCATACTGGGGATGTTCTGGGGGTGTTGGGGGGGTATATTGTGGATGTTGCGGAAGTGTTGTAGACATATTCTGGGGGTTTATTGGGTATCTGTGATAGTGTTGGGGGGTATTGAGGATGTTGTGTGGGTGTTTTGGGGGATCATCGGAGCATTTGTAAAGGTTGTGGATCATTGTGAGAGGGTTAAGGGAGGGTTTACGGAAGTATTGGGGATTGTATTGTGGGGACATTATGAAAGCGTATTATGAATGAGGGTTGTGTAACATGTTAGAGCATAATGACTGGATTACATGAGAGTGTGATGAAGGTTTTTTAGGTACATTGTGACAAGGCTGTTAGGGCATTGTGGGAGGTTATGAGTGATCTTTAAAAGGGTATTGGCAGATTGAGATGTTATGTACATTCTGAGTGAGTTATGACAGGTGTATATAGAGGTAATTATGGGATTATTGTTAAAGGGTAATGAAAGCATTTTGGGAAGGTTATTGGAGTTTTTAGGAGTAGTGTTGGAGGGTATTTTATCATGTATTCTTCAGTGGGTTCTGTGGATACTGAAGTTGGTGGTTATTAAGATTGCAAAACAGGAGTTGTGGAAGTGTTATAAATGCAAGCAAGGTAGTAAAATAATCATGCACTAAAGTCAATATTATGTCGCCATCTATTGGCATAACAATGTAATTCCTACAACCTTCAAAAGTCATCATTTCAGTTTAAGGCATGATTTTAGTTTCTTCCCTGTTGGAAATGGGCTTCTGCAGTTATAAGCATGTTATGAAGTGTTTATGTCATGCTGCAGGTGTTGTATGAGCGCCTCCCAGAGGTGGACAGCAGAAACATGATTCAGCAGATGAACAGCAGCCTGCAGACGCTGGAGAGCAACGTGGACAATGTTGTCAAAACCGCGGAGATGCTCGGAGCTGCACACCAGGTACTTCACATCACAGACACAAACCAAAAAATCTCTTTGTGAATCTGTGTCGGTGTAATGTGTTGCGTGCATCAGGAGGCGCGAGTCAGTCACGCGGTGGAGCTGATGTCTGTACACCTGGAGCATCTGCAGAAACGCCATGATACAGAGAGCGAGGAGATGCTGGAGGTCAGGAAGCTGCTGCACAGGAGGAAGGGGCGATTATACAGCGACTGCACGGGTCAGTGCTGCCCCTAGTGGCCTGGAGGACTGCACATCCCAATATTTCAATAAAGCTGTAGTTCATAATCAGAGTTTTCCTCTACAGATGACCGAGACCTGTTCAGACATTCATCGCAACAGGTAACTGACCACGATTTTTACCTATCGAAAGCATTTCAGTACTTAAGACTTTAATTTGCATGTTTAAAGGGTGTTAGTTGGGTCAGCTTTTGTCACTGATTTCCATATAATGACAGAATGTTGCTATTTTGGGGATTTTTGTAGGACTGGGGCAATAAATCAATGCATTGTAAATTGAAGAATGATCCTGCATGGATTCTGAGAATTATCAAATGTTAAACGCTAGTCTAGAGCACCATCTGCTGTTAAACACTAGCCTAGAGCGCCGTCTGCCCGTAAACACTAGCCTAGATCCCCTTAAACACTAGCCTAGAGTGGCTTAAACACTAGCCTAGAGCATGGTCTGCTGTTAAACACTAGCCTAGATCGACTTGAACACCAGCCTAGAGCGTCATCTGCTGTTAAACACTAGCCTAAAGCACCGCCTGCTAAAAAATACTAGTCTAGATTGCCTTAAACACTAGCCTAGAGCGCCGTCTGCTGTTACACACCAGCCTAGAGCGCCGACTGCTGTTACACACTAGCCTAGAGCACCGACTACTGTTACAAACTAGCCTAGAGCACGGTCTGCTGTTAAACACTAGCCTAGAGCACCGGGTTCTCTTAAATACTGGCCTAGATTGCCTTGAATACTAGCCTAGAGCGCCATCTGCTGTTAACACTAGACTAGAGTGCTGTCTGCAGTTAAACACTAGCCTAGATCACCTTAAACACTAGCCTAGAGCACTGTCTGCTGTTAAACACTAGCCTAGATCACCTTAAACACTAGTGCACTGTCTGGTGTTAAACACTAGCCTGAAGCTCCATCTGCTGTTAAACACTTGCCTAGATCACCCTAAACACTAGCATAGAGCACTGTCTGGTGTTAAACACTAGTCTAGAGCACCGTCTGCTGTTAAACACTAGCCTAGATCCCCCTAAACAATAGCCTAGAGTGCTTTAAACACTAGCCTAGAGCACCGTCTGCTGTTAAACACTAGCCTAGAGTGCCTTAAACACTAGCCTAGAATGCCGTCTGCTTTTAAACACTAATCTAAATCGCCTTAAAAACTAGCCTAGAATGCCATCTGGTGTTAAACACTAGCCTAGACCGCCTTAAACACTAGCCTAGACCGCCTTAAACACTAGCCTAGAATGGCATCTGCTGTTAAACACAAGCCTAGAGTTCCATCTGGTGTTAAACACTAGCCAAGAGTGCCTTAAACCCTAGCCTAGAGCGCCGTCTGCTTTTAAACACTAATCTAAATCGCCTTAAAAACTAGCCTAGAGTGCCATCTGGTGTTAAACACTAGCCTAGACCTCCTTAAACACTAGCCTAGACCGCCTTAAACACTAGCCTAGAATGGCATCTGCTGTTAAACACAAGCCTAGAGTTCCATCTGGTGTTAAAAACTAGCCTAGACCGCCTTAAACACTAGCCTAGACCGCCTTAAACACTAGCCTAGAATGGCATTTGCTGTTAAACACAAGCCTAGAGTTCTGTCTGGTGTTAAACACTAGCCTAGAGCGCCGTCTGCTATTAAACATTAGTTTAAATCACCTGAAACACTAGCCTAGAGCACCGTCGGCTGTTAAACACTAGCCTAGATCGCCTTAAACACTAGCGTAGAGCGCCGTCTAGTGTTAAACACTAACCTAAATTGTCTTAAACACTAGCCTAAAGCACCATCTGCTGTTAAAAACTAGCCTAAATCGCATAACATTAGCCTAGAGCGTCATCTGGTGTTAAACACTAGAGTAGAGTGCCGTCTGGTGTTAAACACTAGCCAAGATCGTCTTAAACACTAGCTTAGAGCTCTGTACGGTGTTAAATACTAGCCTAGATTGCCTAAAAACTAGCCTAGAGCCCTGTCTGGTGTTAAACACTAGCCTAGATTGCCTTAAAAACTAGCCTAGAGCTCCGTCTGGTGTTTAATAGTAGCCTAGAGCACCGTCTGCTGAATGGCAATGCATGGATTTATCATCACAGCTCTACTTAGCATCAATAACAGCTTTTGTTTGTGTCATAGCCAACGCGCCGCAGGGTTAGCATCACCTTACTCCCGACTCAGTCTGAGGTGTGTATTTCTGGATGGTTTTCCAGCTTTCATTTCTGTCGATGAGGTGTTTGAATTTTTGAATGTGTCTCTGCAGATGAAGCAGTTGGAAACGTTATTTCTGGACAACTGCGAATCTAATGTGGAAGTGAAGAAAACCCCTGATGAGCAAACAGACAAGCGGTAAAACCTCGCATAAACAAATCTGTGAAGTAACACTGATTGGCTAAATAGTTTGACTTTTTCCTGTTTGCGCTGCTCAGACAGGAAGTAGTTCCCGATTCTCCCTTCATCAGTCTGAGTCAAGATGATGATGGTGACAGTAGTGTGTTTCAAAGGTAAATCAGACATTAATTATGGCTAAATGTTCCTGGCTGCATTTTCATAATGGTGTATAATATTGCGTTTATATTAGCTACGAAAAAGAATTACAATATAATTTGTGACACCATGAAATAAACTACTTTTTATTTTGTCTATACAATATATATTGTCATACGTTCATGCTCATCATACATGCATGTGACCAATTTTTGCATTCGCCAGTGTGACGCAGATCTCCCCATTGTGTCACCGCCGCCGCCTAAATTCTCAAATCGAGCCAGCAGGAAGTTCATTTGAGGGGGAGGAGCCTAACACTGAGCTGTACGTATGCATTCAAGCATTCAGTTGAGATGCACCGATTGCAATATTATTGGCCTATTGCGATTTTTTTTTTTTTTTTTTTTTTTTTTTTTTTTTTTTTACAACACGAAAAAAGCTAATAATTCTACACTGTCTATAACTTTGTCTTTCCCATTCATCAAAATTCCAAACATAACCATATACTTATAGTAATTAAATTAAATATATTATAACAATACTTAATATGTAGAGCATGTTTTATACATAGCCGTCTAATTTTCTGCTAAAGTATTTGCTGACTGATGTTTTTCTCTCTAAACACAATTATGAGTGAATTTGTTTTACTCGCGCAACAAAAATTTTTAAAATAGTGAAAGTAAATGTTTATTATGACTATTATGACAGTTTTTGTTTTCGTGAATCCACTAGAGGCTGCTGTATACGCCTTTCTGATCTCAAATTTGCCATTAGCTCCTGGTGTTCCCGCATAAATCCACCAGAGGCCGCTGTCGACTGACTGACTGACTGACTGACCGACTGACTGACCCACCCTCCTCCTTCCCTAAACCCAACCAATAGTGTTTTCAAAAGCACCGATTGACCCGCCCACCCCCTTCCCTAAACCCAACCAATAGTGTTTTCAAAAGCACCGATTGACCCGCCCACCCCCTTCCCTAAACCCAACCAATAGTGTTTTCAAAAGCACCGATTGACCCGCTCACCCCCTTCCCTAAACCCAACCAATAGTGTTTTCAAAAGCACCAATTGACCCGCCCACCCCCTTCCCTAAACCCAACCAATAGTGTTTTCAAAAGCACCGATTGACCCGCCCACCCCCTTCACTAATCCCAACCAATGGTGTTTTCAAAAGCACCAATTGACCCGCCCACCCCCTTCCCTAAACCCAACCAATAGTGTTTTCAAAAGCACCGATTGACCCGCCCACCCCCTTTTCTAAACCCAACCAATAGTGTTTTCAAAAGCACTGATTGACCCGCCCACCCCCTTTCCTAAACCCAACCAATAGTGTTTTCAAAAGCACCGATTGACCCACCCACCCTCTTCACTAAACCCAACCAGTAGTGTTTTCAAAATTGACCCACCCAACCACTTCCCTAAAGCCATCCAATAGTGTTTTTAAAAAGCACAGATGGACCCGCCCACCCACTTCCCTAAACCCAACCCAGTTTTCAAAAACACTACAGAAAAAGAAAAACCCTCACCTGATTTTTTACCACGTTTTCAGATTTTTCCACATTCTCACCCTGTTATTTATTTGTTTTAATTTTATTTTTTGTCTACTATTTTTGTCTTAACCGTTTTCTGAAACCGTTCTTCCCCAGACTCAAACTACTTCGTCTTGGTCAACTCCTCTCTGTCTCAAGTCCGCTGACGTACATGGCGAGCTACTGGGCAAACTGGTAACCGGGAGAGCCGTTCATACGTACTTCTAGCTACATAATTCGGAATCTCCAGAAATGTATATAGGGCTGCGTTTTCAGAATGAGCCTATGTTGCATTATTCGGTTAATAATGTCATCTCGAGCGCGTGTTGAGATCATTTGACAGTTATGATTACGTTTATGCACTAAATGTTTTCGAAGAGTCGTCATGGCTGCTAATCATGAACATAACGACAATTTCAGTTTCACGCACTTGGAAAAAAATAACATTAACAGATAATATTTTAGGAGCCTATGTGTTGATGTGACTGTATTTTCGGCTGTCACCACTTGGGGGCAGTATGTGCACATAGGGCAAGACTGGACATTGGTTGTGTGTGTAAAACGTGCGTTAAGACGCCAAGCATTCGACATTTACATTATATGCGACTGTAAGTGCAAGTGTGACAACACTGTGCGTGCCACTACTAACAGAATGAATTGGCCGCGAAATATCGTACGATATTTTTTAATGCTAAAAAAATCATGCTATTACGGTACTTGGCTGGTCGATCAGTGCATCTCTCCCATTTATCCTAATTTATGTGCATAATTACAGCACTGATGTGCAATATGTTATTTGCAGATGTCTCACTGCAGAACGGCGCCCCCTGCTGTCCTGGAGGTCTTCGTACAGATGGATCGTCAGAATTACGTTCACTCTAATAATGCTGATGATAGTGGCTCTTTTATATTAATTTGTTATTATCAGTGCAAATGATCAATGATTTGACATCATTTAATTTTATCGCACCATTTTATGTAAAAATGAGCATCGCTAATGATACTGACTGATGAATTAGAGATCGTGAGGGAGTGTAGATCACTGTGTTTCCTGCAGGCGGCAGTATCGAGTCGCTCATTTACTCATTAGCAAATGAATATAACTGGATTATAGTTGACAAGTGCATGTGTGTGTCCTGAACACAGAGTGCAATTAAATATTCAGATGTAATATAGTCCTGAAACAGGTGCACAGCTAAAGCAGCTGATTAATGACATTAATTCACAGTATTTACATTCAGGGAGACACTGAGAAGCTTCAGGCGGATTGATTGAGGATTCAGTAGGTGCTGCTCGTCTGAATTGTTCAGCTAATAAATGCATTTGTTTTCAGTTTAATTTGTGCAGTAAATCAGAAAATTATGCAAATAATTGAGGAATAAAGGAGGAGAGCGAGCCTTTCATCTTCACAGCTTCTTCTCGGAATAAATCAGCGCTTCTGTTTCCTGTCCTGTGAGTTTTAGGACATCCTAAACTCCACCCACATCCTGCGTCATAGCCAATCAGAGTTCAGAAGGAGAAATGAGATCAGGAAGCGCGCTTAATTTTCTGGTAAGGCCAATTTAAGTGGATTAAAGCAGCTCACAGGAGCTGAAAACGTCCTTAAACTAACATCTACCGCTGGAGAAGACTGCTCATTAGTTAGGATGAATATTCATTAGAGGAAGTCTGAAAATATTAGAAAATACTGTTTATTTGACTTCAGAAGCAAAGTATATGACGTTATGATGCTAATTAATTTAAATATTTGAAATGTTTAATTGATCACATTTAATAATGAAGAGTGCACAGCACGCTGGCGGCTTTTAAAAATGTTGTTATGTTAATCTTATAAGCAATATCTTTCAGAAGGTCATAACTCGCACTCGTTAAATATAAAGTATGTAAATGAGCTTGAATCATGACCTTCAAATGTTTAAGTAATGCATTTAAATTAAGCTAATTACATTATATTATTTGTATATCATTTTGTTTTATTTTATCTAAATTACTTCAGGTATTTTGGATGTCAAAGTGGGAATACATACACAAATTGTTCTAAACTAAGAGCAGTTGGTAAATATGGAAAATGATGATTATAATAATAATAATAATGCAAAAACTGTGAAAATAAATATAGATCCTTATATATTTGTGTTATATTTAATATATTAATATTTATAATATAATCGTTTTTTTATATATTTGAATTATTTGTTATTAAATTATATGATAATTACTGTACATCTGACTTCATGATCATCTTTTTTTATTAAAAACATTGACAAAATGACAAAAACAATGCAAAAACAGTCAAACCGGAATTAAATGTCTTTTAAAATTATTATAATATTTAGGAAATTTGTTTTAAAATATATATAATAATTTCAGATTTACTTTCTTTTTAGCAACGGATTATCATTTTTTTATTTGGTATAATTAAAATGCATATATTTGTTCCTATATATATATATATATATATATATATACACACACACACACACATACATGCATACATATATACACACACACACTCACACACACACACACACACACACACACACACACACGTTTATATACATTCATATACTTTCCAAAGCATGTGCATGACAGAAAATAATGCAAATAAGATTTTTAAGTTTATAATTTGAGCATGTTTTATAAAGCAACATTGAAGAAAGTTGAGTGATTGACTATATTTACCTTATATTTTTCTTTACCTCGTTCTAAAATTGCTATCATATAATTATGTAATCGTTTATGGGTGTATATCATATATAGTAAGGATGTACTGTAAAAAATCGATGCGTTATGTAATAATAATGTCAATATTATGTAATATAACAGTGTGCAGATGGAGCTGTGATGTATGTAAGTGTAATATGATGAGATGATGTGAGACATGAATGACCTGATGACGCAATACAGACACAGACTGACCATGTGCGCAGAATCACTGCTAAACACACACACACACGCTGCAGGACATGAGGCTCTCTCTCACACACACACACACCACAGGGCATCAGGCTCATGTTCCTTCATGTGCGTTTATACACTCTTGTGCCAATGTGTGACTTACTGCACATATGCTGTACGCTAATCTAACAGATGCTAGCATGTTTACAGTGCTGCTGTACAAACACACAAACAAATAAACACGCACACGACGCTGATACACACGTGTATGATGCAAAACTATATTAGATTATTACACACTCAGTGAATTAATTCACATCTCAACTGTTCTCGCAAGTAAATCCGCGCATGCGCAGTAAGCAATTTAGCTGCGCACAAAAAAAAATATATATATATATTTATTTTAACAGTTTTACAGTTTAAAATATGTTTTTAAACTATATGAATATTTTTTATTTGTATAGTTTTACAGTCTGGCATTTTACGAGATTTTGACTTGATTTTTCAAGTGATGTAATGCATAAATCTGTGTTTAATATTATATATTTGTTCATTTAAAATGAGTTACTCAAATCAGCTGCATGTGCAAAGCATAGAGCAAGTTCTGCATACAAAAGCTCGTGAGTTTGTCGTCATAAAAGAACTCCTCAGCATTCTTAACATCAAGAATCTGCATAATTGTACTTATTATTGCAAAAACAACAGCGCAAAATCACAACAGAGACAGACTTTTTACAATAAGAAAAATTAAATATTTAATAAAGTAGTATAACATGGGTATAAAAAATAAAGAGAAAGAACTAAAAGGCTCAAAAAATACATAAAAAAATCAGAATATTTATCAAAGTGCTTGTTCAATGAAACTGCACATTGGCAGTGCAGGATTTCTTGCAAGGGTAGGTCAATGTGATTGGCTGTCGGATGATCGGGGTTGACGTCACGCTCCTCGGCCCCGCCTCTCCAGCTCGGTTGTCCAGGTAGATGCTGAGCAGATATTCCAGATCTCCAGAATCTCCACTCCAGGTAAGAGCATCTCATTATCTGTCTCTGCCGTTGATAAAATTAATATCACTAACAGTGCATGATGGTTTATGTGGGAGCGAGTTGCTAGAAGGGATACAGCTGCGGCCGAAGTTTAACGAGAATTATTTATCTATAAGTTATCTATTAGAATGTATTATTCACATCTACCCGTTCCTTAATCCTCGCATTAATGCAAAAACAGTAATAATACCGACTTTTATTCATGTTATTTAATCAATACACACATTCAATTGTATTTAATTAACACCAACCCTTAAAGTAATGTAAAAACAGTAATAATACCGAGTATTATTCACATTATTAAATAACCCATTAAATTGTATTTTATTAACGTCTACCCCTACCTTAACCCTAAACCCGACCATCACATTAATGTAAAAATATTAATAATTATTGTACAGTAAAATAAATGAATATTATGCTATATTGACGTGCGTATCCGCAGCTGTATCCCTTCTAGACTTTACCGCGCTTTTAACTGTTGTTTCCGTTTACTCTTAACTCGTTGTTTCTGAAGTAAAGTTAATGTTAGCGGAAATGTTAAACGATAGTAAACATTATTACGCATTATACTGTCGTTAAAATATTTGAATCTCAATTTACAATTAGTTCTTAACTAATAATGAGCAATATTTGTACAGCATTTATTAATAATCATTGTTCAGCATTTACTACGTAAATAATAAATAATACGTAATTAAAATGCTTGTTAGCATCAGGTAATGCACTGTAAATTGACTTGAACTAACCATTTACTTTATTTTCATTGACTAATATGCTTAAATACTGTAATAAATGTATTGTTTGTTCATGCTGGTAAATACATTAACTACTAAATCCTTATTGTAAAGTGTTATCGAATATTCAAATGTCTCATTTAGTTTTCCGTGCTGTTTCAAGCAATATTGTTTATTAATGTTATTAATTAATAAACACTTGTCATAATGTTAGTAAAATATATGTTATTTTGTTAAATCTTCTCTTTAATCATGTGTATTACTGAAATTACCCATGTTTTAAAGTGAAACATTACTCAGTCAAGTGTTTCCTTGTTAATACGGAGCATTTGAACTGAAGTCATTTGGTATGAAGGTCAATTTTAATATTCATAATGTGATTGTGGTGGTTTGGTCAGTGTAGTTAATTGCTCTAACCTACATGGAGAGAGATCACAGGTCAGAGATTAAAAGTGTTCTCAGAAACACATTGATTAGAGTGACCGAGCGCGACCTTCACCTTTATATAAGAGTGAAGCAATGGCTCAGATTCTGGAGGATTATTATGAGCGCAGAGATGATGCTTTATGTAAGTCTCATCATCATATGAGTAAATATAATGGATATTAGGGCTGGGCGATGTGACCAAAATCTCATCCTGATAATGATGTATATTACAATATAGTACCATTTCTGTAAATTCAATCAATTAATAGTTTATATATATATTGAGCAAAAGTGTTTGTTTTTTTTGCATTGTAAAGTTTACCAATTTATGTTCATATTTGTCACTTTATTTAGAACTTCAGGGCAAATGTTTGATTAAATTTGTATCTCTTATGACCCTTTATAAACAGCTATGAAGCATTATGAACTGCTATGAAGCTTTTTTAGAATTTGTTACGTTTACAAGTAATCCAAGTTATTATGATCTGTTAAGATCCACTATTATCTCTAACTAACATTTATGAACAGCTTCGAAGTATTATAAGCTGCTATGAAGCTTTTTTAAATCAGTTTTAAATCATTACAAGCATTACAAAATGTTATGAACCATTTAAGATGCACTATTTATTATCTGTAATGTCCCTTTATGAACATCTATGAAGCATTATGAGGTGCTATGAAGCTTTTTTGAATTAGTTCTGAATCATTTCAAGCATTACAAAATATTTAGGCTGTTAAGATGCACTATTAACTCTTATGAGCCTTTTTGAACAGCTATGAAGTATTATGGGCTGCTATAAAGCTCTTTTTGAATCGGTTATGATCATGGAAAAGTGTTCCAAGATATTATGAACTGTTACGATCCACTATTATCTCAACGGAACCTTTATGAACAGCTGCGAAGCATTATAAGGAACTATGGAGCTTTTTCGAATTCGTTCTAAATCATTACATGCATTACAAAATGTTATAAACCGTTGAGATTCACTATTATCTCTTACAAATATTTATGTACAAGTATGAGTTATTATGAGGTGCTATTAAGCTTTTTTTGAATCTGTTCTGAATAATTACAATCATTATAAAAAGTTATGAACCATTTAAGATGCATTTATAAACATCTATGAAGCATTATGAGGTGCTATAAAGCATTTTTGAAACAAGATGTTATCTAGCGTTAAGATGCGCAATTATGTCTAAGGCACTTCTGTAAACAGCTATGTAGCATTATGACAAATTATGAAGCATTTTTAAAATCAGGTCAGAATAACTGCAAGCATTACAACATTTTATCAACAATTAAGATGCACTATTAACTATTATGACCCTTTACGAACATCTATGAAGTGTTGTGATGAGTTGTGGAGTCTTTTTTTTTTAATCATTACATGTATTACATAATGGTATGAAATGTTAAGATGTGCTAATATCTCTAAACACTTTGTGAACATCTGTGAAGCATTATGAGGTGCTATGAAGCTATTTTGATTAGTCATTACAAGCTTTACCAAGTTTTATGAACTGTTAAGGTGCACTATTATCTCTACTGTCCCTTTATGAACAGCTATGAAGTATTATGAGGTGCAATTAAGCTTTTTGAAACTATTCTACGTCATTACAAGCAATACAAAATATTAGGAACCCTCAAGATGCACTATTAACTCTTATGATCCTTAATGAACAGCTATGATGCATCATGAGGAACTGATTTTTAAAATCAGTTCAGAATCATTACAAGCGTTAAAAAATATTATGAACAGTTAAGATGCATGAATAACTCTTATAACCCTTTATGAGCAGCTATAATGCATTACAAGGTACTATGACGCTTTTTTGAATCAGTTCTGAATCCTTACAAGCCTTTTAAATATTATGAACACTTAAGATGCATGATTAACTCTTATAACCCTTTATGAACAGCTATAATGCATTATGAGGGACTACAAGGCTTTTTTGAATCAGTTTGGATTTATTACAAGTGTTACAAAATATTATGAACAGTTAAAATGCATTATGAGGAACTATGAAGATTTTTTGGATCAGTTCAGAATCCTTACAAGCCTTTCAAATATTACGAACACTTATAATGCACGATTAACTCTTATAACCCTTTATGAACAGCTTTAATGCATCATGAGGGACTATAACAGTTTTCTGAGTCAGTTTGGATTTATTACAAGTGTTACAAAATATTATGAACAGTTAAGATGTACGATGATTAACTCTTATAACCCTTTATAAACAGTTATAGTGCATTATGAAGAACTATGAAGCTGTTTGGAAATAGTTTTGCATCATTACATGCATTAAAAATATTATGAACAGTTAAGATGAACAAATTAACTCTTATAACCCTTTATGAACAGCTATAATGCATTATGAGGAGCTATGAAGCTTTTTGAATCAGTTCTGGGTCCTTACAAGCCTTTCAAATATTATGAACAGTTAAGATGCTCGATTAACTCTTATAACCCTTTATGAACAGCTGTAATGCATTATGAGGAACTATGAAGCTTTTAGAATCAGTTCTGAGTCCTTACAAGCCTTTCAAATATTATGAACAGTTAAGATGCACAAATTAACTCATATAACCCTTTATGAACAGTTATAATGCATTATGAGGAACTGTGAAGCTTTATTGAATGCGTTCGGAATCATTACAAGCGTTACAAAATATTATGAACTGTTAACTCTTATGACACTTTATGAACAGCTATGAAACATTATGAGGATTTTATGAGGGCAAACTGAGTCTAATATGAATCGATTGACATTTTATTTCGCCCATATGATATTGTCTTATTGCACAGGCCTAATGTATGTCATGTGTATTTTCTGCAGAAGTCAGTTTTTGAATAACCTGAGCCACGATGGGTCGTAAGGAGATCAACTGCACATGGAAGAAGAGCACCAACAACATCAAGGAGATCTTTGACTTCAAGGAGGTTCTAGGCTCGTGAGTACCAGATGCTGATTTTCTGAGGTGATCTGAATGCTATGTGAGTCTGCTGAGTCAGAAGTCGGTTTTGGCGCTCATGAAGGTGTTTTTGCGAGGTTGAGCACTCTTACAGGATTAGCAGGTTTATCTCGAAGGAGACACATGCGTTAGACAGCACTGGTAATCTGAGCCTGAGACGCAGATTAACGGATTGAGGACCAGGCGGTATTTTTATCAATGAAGCCCTTCATCCTCCTGCTGCTATTGAGAAATACCAGTGATGCGCAGTACTGAACAGTGCGTCATAAGGCAATGTAAAGTATAGTAAGATTTTTATGAAGCATCTAAAATGTGTATGAAGTATTATAAATAGTATTAGGTGCTATGAAGTTTTTGCAATTTTATTAATAAGTTATTAATCATTAAAAGCATTCCAAAATGTTATTAAGCTTCATAGACATTATTATCTCTTAGGACACTTTGTGAACAGCTATGAGTTATTATGAGTTACTATGAAGCATTTTTGAATCAGTTCTGAATCATTACAAGTGTTATGAAGATTTAGAGGCACTATTTTCTCTTAGGACCCTCTATGAACAGCTATGAAGCATTATTAGGTGCTATGGAGCTTTTTAAAATCAGTTCTGAATCATTACAAGCATTCAAAAATGTTATGAAGCTTTGAAATGCACAACATGCTCTTGAGATCCCTTTATGAACAGCTATAATGTATTTTGAGGTGTTATGAAGCATTATGAAAACAGTTCTGAATCATTACAACCGTTTTAAAATGTGATGAAACTTTAGAGGAACTATTTTCTTTTAGGACCCTTAATGAACAGCTATGAAGCATTATGAGGTGCTATGTAGTTTTTAAAAATCAGTTCTGAATCATTACAAGCAGTCAAAAATGTTATGAAGCTTTAAAATGCACAACATCCTCTTAGGACCCTTTATGAACAGCTATGAGGTATTTTTAGGTGTTATGAAGCTTTTTTTAACATTTCTGAATTATTATACGCATTACAAAATTTTATAAAGCTTTAGAGGCACTGCAATCACTTATGACTGTTTATGAACAGCTGTGAAGTATTATAGGGTTCTATTGAGCTTTTTTAATCAGTTCTAAATTATTACAAGCATTAAAAATGTTATGAACTGTTAAGATGATCTATTACCTCTTTATGAACATCTATGAAGTATTATGAAGAACTGTAAAGATTTTTGAAAGGTAATGAGATATGAATCATTACAAATAATCCAAAATGTTATGACGCTTTAAGATACTCTATTATCTCTCAGGACCCTTTATGAGCAGCTATGAAGCATTATGAGGTGATGTGAAGTTTTTGAATCAGTTCTAAATCATTATAATCATTTTAAAATATAATTTACTTATTTACTTAAAATTGAACTTACTCTCTTTTTGATTCTGAAGCTATAAGATGCTAAGATGCACTGTTATCTTTTAGGACCCTTTATAAACAGCTATGAAGTATTATGAGCTGCTATGAAGCTCTTTGAAATGTTTTAAATTATGAGTCATTCCAATCATTCCAAAATGCTATAACGCTTTGGATGTTCTACTATTAGACACTGTGAAGTGTTATAAAGTGTTAATAAAATACTTATGTGATCTTATGATGCATTATAACGTGTTACAAAATGCCCTAAATCTCTAAAGGTCAGGAAACTTGCACAGCACGTCATGAAGGGTAAGGAAGCATTCCTACAAAATATTAGGAAGCTTTGAAAGGTTGCACTAAAATAAGCCTTAATGAATCATAACGAAATGGTTTATGAAGCTTTACAAATCCTTATATACTCTTCTAAGGGTTCATAAAGCTTTAATAGGTGCTATAAGCTTTTAAGACACTTGATGAAGGGTTATGAAGCTTTATGAAATTCAGCATGAGCCACTGTAAGCTATTAGCTTTCTAGGACATTATGATGCTCAGTGTAGGGTTATGTAGCATTAGGATTTGTTCCAAAATTCTGTGAAGCTTTATGAGTCAGTTTAAGTGCTTATCATGATGATAGGTTATGAATCATTATTAGGTATTAGCTTTTAGATCTTCGAGAGGCACTATAAGGACAGTTTATGAATGGTTGTGTGAAGCATTATGAGTTGCTTTAAAGGTTGAGATGTTTATGTAGCATTATTAAGTGTTGTGAAGCCTTTATACAGCATTCCAAAAAAGTTATGAAGCTTTAATAGGCATTATAAATGGTTATGAAGCATTATGATGAGCTATGAAGCTAAAATGTCATGGGTATTTAGGAGCTAGAAAGCTTTGTAACGTGGCATTATGAAGCTTTGTGATGTGTTATGACATGTCGAATGTAAATGTCAAGTTATGACACTTTATGCAGTGTTATGAATGTTTACAATAAGGATGATCAGTTTATTTCAGATATATGAAAGGCTCTACATAATGAGGCATCATGATGCAGCATAAGGCGATACAAATGCTTTGCAATGCATGCTGGGAGATAAATAAGTGAATCATTTATAGGCATTATGAAGCTTTATGAGGCATTATAATGTGTTATATGTCTTATGAAGACTCTTTAACACATTTTTTTTCTGTATTCGGTTGACCGTGTCTGCATTAGAGGGTTTCCTTTTTCCCTCTCCCTCTCCCTCTCTCTCTCTCTCTCTCTCTCTCTCTCTCTCTTTCTCTCTTTCACTCTCTCTCTCTCTCTCTCTCTGCTGTCAATCTTCATCTGCAGGTGATTGACACAGAGACATCAGAGAACATCCTGACACTAGTTAATAACAGGATTACTGATGTAGGTGGGTTAAACAAGGTGTTCAGCAGGGGGAAAAGTGGGTCTCAGAAAGACATCCAGATCTGACGGATATATGCAAAATGACTTAAAATTACACCCTGGATATTATTATTATTATTATTGCTATTATTATTATTACCAATTCATAATTCATATCATATGAGTGTCTGCACACATGTGGATGACAGCGTGATTAAATATTCAGCAGAAATTGACTGAGTTCATTCTGTGATAGATGACAGTGACTGGATCCCCATGTAAATAAGCTTCACAGATCTCGGATCTGTGATAACCTCTGCTGTTCTAGAAACGTGCCACAGGCTTGTGCATGCATCAAGGTTATTTTAATAAACAAAAACAAAGACTAACATTATTTTAGAGTAAAACTTTTTCAAGATGGCAAATTTAAATTCCATAGCCAAAACTAAAAGATTCACAATAAAAGAAAAACTAAGCGAAACGAGCAGCAGCGGCTGGAAAATAAATCATTATTTTTATTAATATATTAATAGACAACTAAAGTTATTATTTTCAATCTGTATTTCAAACTAACTGAAATGAAATAATAATTAGCCAAAGTAAATGCTTGTTTCAGATTCATTAATGAGTTACTAATTAATGACATCATAGCATTGCTCTTCTGATTACTTCATCTGAAAGTAGCTTAGTTACTCAATAAGTACTTGAATGACTTACTTAAATACTAATCTACATATATTCATTCATTTTCCTTCAACTTAGTCCCTTTATTAATCAGGGGTCACCACAGCGGAATGAACCACCAACTCATTCACACACACCCTCATACACTATGGTCATTTTAGTTCTCGAACCTGCAACCTTCTTACTGTGAGGCCACATTGCTAACCACTGAGCCCACATACATTTCAATGCATACATAACATCAATTAATTACATAATAATTATAATCAAATTATAATCTTAATTCTTTAAATTGAGGCAAACAGGACCTTTTAGTTTTGTTTTTAAAGTTAACACCGTATTTAAGCAACACGTGTATGAAAACACAAAACATTTGTCTTTATATATCAAACATTTAATACTCATTGTTCATTAAACATGTGCAGTTACAAATAATCGCACAAATAAAACCTTCTTAAGGTTAAAAATTAAATTAATTGCAATTTATTATTATTATTATAATTGAGTTTAATATGCAAAATATCTGAATATATACTTCAAATTGTTCTGGTGTCCTAAATTTATACACTGCATTGTTGTTAACAGTGTCTTAGTAGTTAGCACAGCGAGAAGGTCGCTGGTTTGAGCCTCGGCTGGGTCAGTTGGCGTTTCTGTGTGGAGTTTGCATGTTCTCCCCGTGTTGGTGTGGGTTTGTCGGGTGCTCCGGTTTCCCCCACAGTCCAAACACATGCAGTATAGGGGAACTGATCAACTAAACTGGCCGTAGTGAATGTGTGTATGGGTGTTTCCCAGTACTGGGATGCAGCTGGAAGGGCATCCACTGCGTGAAACATATGCTGGAATAGTTGGCGGTTCATTCCGCTGTGGCGACCCCTGATAAAAAAGACACTAAGCCAAAGAAAAATGAATCTTGTTAATTAATTTCTCAAAGTTGATTATTAAGCATACACAATTCTCATAATAAATGTTCTCCTTTAATTAATCTGCTCCTCTGAAGTGATTTATACACAACTTTTGAGTTCATATACGGTATTTAAAGCAAGAATATTAAAACTAACTAGTTAAATGACCTATAATAAATGAAAGTAATCCCTTACGTTACTTTTTCAACACTAAAGTAATCTAATTACTGAAACTAGTAATTACAGCCGAACTGAACACATCAAAACTAAAGTTAATCGTGTTCACAAACTGAAATCTACTGCAGATTGAAAGATGGTGCAGAAATTAAAGGCTGAACTGTTTGTGTGTCTGTTGTCGTCGTCGTGGTCTTCTGGGACGCTGCTAACATGTTCTGGATTAAAGGCATTGTGGGTAATTATCCGTCATGAGGGGCGGCAGTGTTGGTCTTATATAACTGCTAATCCTCCTGCTGGGACAGTTATTCGTGGTACAGCTGAAGATAGACAGACAAAGTGGGTTCAAGTGTTCTCTGGACACGCACACGCACGCACACACACGCTTACGGCCGTGTGCTCGTAGATTAGCTGACATTAAAGTGCGCAGGAATTCACCCAAATCAGGCAAAGACGAGTCGATTTTGAGTTTATTTGTGTAACAAAAATAATAGTGCTCACTGATGAGTGTTAAACTTTTATTGGAGACTCACTCTGAATGAATCATCTCAATCAGTGAATCGTTTACTGGAGAATTGCTCTTAATGGATAATTTAAATTAGCAAGGTGTTTACTGGAGACTCATTCTGAACAGATATGAATCAGTGAATCAGTTACTTGACACTCGCTCTGAATGGATCATTTAAGTCAGTGAATCATTTACAAGGAACTCACTCTGAATTTATCATTTGAGTCAGTGAATCAGTTACTTGAAACTCGCTCTGAATGGATCATTTGATTCAGTGAATCATTTACTGGATACTCAATCTGAATGTATCATTTGAGTCAGTGAATCATTTACAAGGAACTCACTCTGAATGTATTATTTGAATCAGTGAATCATTTGGCTGAAAACTTACTCTGAATGTATTGTTTGAATCAGTAAATCATTTCCTAGAAACTCACTCTGAACAGGTCATTAGTGAATCATTTACCTGAAACTCGCTCTGAATGTATCGTTTTAATCAGTAAATCGGTGAATCATTTACCCGAAACAAATTCTAAATATATCATTTGAATCAGTGAATCATTTACTGGGAACTCACTCTGAACTGATCATTTGAATTAGTGAATCATTTACTAAAAACTTTGAATCAGTGAATCGTTTACTATTAACTCACTCTGAATAGATCCTTTGAATCAGTGAGTCATTTACTGGAAACTGATTCTGAACACATCATTGGAATCAGTGAATCATTTACTGGGAACTCACTCTGAATAGATCATTTGAATCATTTACTGGGAACTCACTCTGAATAGATCATTTGATTAGTGAATCATTCATTCATTCATTTTCCTTTGGCCTATTCCCTTATTTATCAAGGATTGCCACAGGGCAATGAACTGTCAACTATTCCGGCATATGTTTTATGCAGCAGATGGCCTTCTAGCTGCAATCCAGTACTGGGAAAATCAGTGAATCATTTACTAGAAACTCACTCTGAACAGATCATTTCAATCTGTGAAGCATTTACTATGAACTCACACGTAATTTATCATCTGAATCAGTGAATCATTTGCTGGAAATCATTCTGATCAGATCATTTCAATAAAGGAATCATTTCACTTTTGAATGAGTGTACCATTTACTGGAAACTCACTTTGATTGCATCATTTGAATCAGTGAATCATTTACCTAAAACTCACTCTACATTTATTATTTGAATCAGTGAATCATTTCCTGGAAACTCACTCTGTATGGATCATTTGAATCAGTGAATCATATACTGAAAACTTACTCTGAATAGATCATTTGAATCAGTGAATCATTTACCTTAAAGTCACTCTCAGTGCATCATTTGAATCAGTTAATCATTTGCTAGAAATCACTCTGAACAGATCATTTGAAACACTGAATCATTCATTGATTCTTTTATTAATTTTCCTTCAGCTTAGTTCCTTAGTCCTTATTTATCAGGGGTCACCACAGCGGAATGAATCACCAACTATTCCGGCGTATGTTTTATGCAGCAGACTAGAGTAGTGCAGTAAAAGCAGAGTGAAGCGTCCAGCACGGCTCCAGCATTCAGATCTGCACACACTCGGAGCACATTCAGAGATGTTTGTGTCTGACTTGAGGATCTCTTGTTTTCTCAGAGGCTCGTTTTCAGAGGTCTACCTGGTGCGGGAGAGGAAGAGCGGCAATTTCTACGCCCTGAAGTGTGTGAAGAAAAAACAGCTGCATCACTCCAACCTGGAGAACGAGATACAAGTGCTGAAGAGGTAGAGGACGAACCTGACCACAACACACACACACACACACACACACACTGATCAAATAAACACAAACACATCAGCACAGAGAATAATCATTTATAGGAGACTCACTCTGAGTGAATCATTTAAACCAGTGAATCACTTACTGGAGACTCACTTTGAATGAATCATTTGAATCAGTGAATCGTTTATTGGAAATAATGTCACATCACCGCAGATAATCATAAACAGCACACACTGATCAAATAAGCACAATATCTCACACACTACACACCATAAACACCACCACAGATAACCTTAAACACCACAGAGTGCTGAAATAAACTAATAACGTCACAAACACACTGCTAAAAATGCTTTTCTTCGTGTTTTTGTCTTGTTTGTAGCGTTTTTAAAGCAAATTAAATCTTATTTTATTATTTAAATTTACCCATTTTATTTATTTATTTATTTATTTATTTATTTATTTTATAAAATGAAAGCATGTTACATCTCATTTTATTGTATTTATTTATTCTTTTTACATATTTATTTTCCTATTTTTTTTTACTTGTTTTGTGCTTTTGTCTTGTTTGTAGTCCAACTATCCCAAAAAATGATTAATTTACACTGTAATTAAAGCATGTTACAGCTTGTTTATTTACTCTTTTTATTTATTTATTTATTTACTTTGGGTTTTTGTATTGTTTTTGGCCCGAATATCTAAAAGTTCTTAAAGCTCATTTTATTGTATTTATTTCCCCTTTTTATTTATAAATTTTTATTTCAAGGTTGTTTTTTTTTGTACTTATTCTAATCCAAATGTTTAAAAAAGCCAGCACTCTAAGCAGGAAACCTTTTTTTTTTTGCAGTGCAATGTGATGAAAGTGTTTTAATTTAGTGTAACTCCCGCACAACACATCTATAACTCCTATAATCGGTGTCTGTTTCAGGATAAAGCACAGTAATGTCGTGGGTCTGGAGGATTTCTATGAAAGCAGAACGCATTATTACCTGGTGATGGAGCTGTAAGTGTTTCATTTCTCTGGTTCTTCTGTGTGGAGTTTGCATTTTCTCCTCATTCAATTTTTTTTCAATTCAATTCACCTTTATTTGTATAGTGCTTTTACAATGTAGATTGTGTCAAAGCAGCTTCACATAAATGGTCATAGTAACTGGAACAGTGTGGTTCAGTTTTTAGTGTTTAAGTTCAGTTCAGTTCAGTTTAGCTCAGTTCAGTGTGATTTAATCATTACTGAGAGTTCAAACACTGAAGAGCAAATTCATCGATGCGTAGCTCTACCAATCCTGAACCATGCGAGGCAGTGGCGACAGCGGAGAGGGAAAAAAAAACTTCACCTGATGGGAGTGAAGAAAAAAAACCTTGAGGGAACCAGACTCTGTTGGGCACGACCATTTTAATTTCTCCGCTGGCCAAAAGTCTTGTGCAGAACTTCATTCGCCGTGGTTTAGGCTGGAAGATGGCCTCAGCGAAGACTCGTCTGTCCTTGGAGTGTCGCTGGAATCAGACTCATGTTCTCCACTTCCCACGACCATCAGCGCAGCAGCAGCTCAGGATATGGCCTGGTCCCGCATATGGAATCCTCATGTTGGTGTGGATTTCCTCTGAGTGCTCCGGTTTCCCCCACTGTCCAAACACATGCGCTATAGGGGAATTGATCAACTAAACTGGGCGTAGTGTATGAGTGTGAGTGTGTAAATGAGTGTGTTTGGGTGATTCCCAGTACTGGGTTGCTGCTAGAAGTGTAAAACATAACTGGAATAGTTGGCGGATCATTCCGCTGTGGGGACCCCTGATGAATGAAGGGATTTTACCAAAGAATGAATAAACAATTGAGCTCATCTTTAGTTTTATTGCGCCATTACAGTTTAGACTGATGTTTTAGTGAAGTGAGTCAAAATCAATTTAGCAATCACTGCTTTCTCTTTTTATTTGTGTTTTCCTTACTGTAACAACCTTTTCTGATCAGGATTATAGTATAAACTCATTATAAGTGCACTTCTGGAGCTCTTCTGTTGATCATGTGTGTGTGTGTGTGTGTGTGTGTGTGTGTGTGTGTGTGTGTGTGTTTAAAGGGTGTCAGGAGGAGAGCTCTTTGACCGTATTCTGGATCGAGGCGTGTACACAGAGAAAGACGCCAGCCGTGTGATCAATCAGGTCCTGGAGGCCGTTTCCTACCTGCACCAGAACAGCATCGTCCACCGAGACCTGAAGGTGAGTAAGACTGATCCACTGCTGTGAGTTTGCATTGAGTTTAAGGGTGCGTTCACACCTGTAGTGTGCTTACTGTGATGCAGACCAAGGGTGAAAAAAACAACAGCTGTACCTTGTTGAATCTGTGCCATGAAGGATTAAGGCAGTTCTGAGAGCAAAGACCCAGTACTAGGAAGGTGTACCTAATAAAGTGGCCGGCGAGTGTATATTGTCATTTACCGAATTATTTTGTCCAAAGCGGTTAACAGTTCAGGAGGCATTGAGCGACTCAATAAGAAGACACAATACACACAAGAAGTGCTGATTACACTCAGGAACTGTCAGTGCTCAGAGAGTTAAATGCAAGAGTGTTTTTACTTATTTATAGACAGTAGAATGTTTTACAGGTGGTTTGTCAAGCCCACTCACCTGTGTGAGGCACACTGTGTGAATGCACAATGGTTTTTTGCTCTTTCTTCTTTTTTTAAGATATGAGGCTGTATTTTGATGATCCAGGCGCAAAGTGCAGGGCGAAAAATCATGAAAGAGCGTGTCTGAATCCACTTTTGCTATTTTAAGGACGGGGAAATCCGCTTTGCGCCGTGTCACACGGTCTAACAGGGTTGAGCTTATTCTCTTTTTTTGGTGATCAAATTGTTGCAGTTGAAAATAATCTTGCGTACATAGTTACAGACAAAGATACCAACCAACTGCGTTTTCTACTATTACCCCAGCCCTGGCGAAAATAATAATAAACAAAAGAAGAAAATAAATCAGAGTAAAAACAAAAAGAGAGAGAATAATATTAATAGTGTATATATATACATTTTAATAAAAAAAATAATAATAATAAAATAAAAATAAGGCGACACAGTGGCGCAGTAGATAGTGCTGTCGCCTCACAGCAAGAAGGTCGCTGGTTCGAACCTCGGCTCAGTTGGCGTTTCTGTGTGGAGTTTGCATGTTCTCCCTGCCTTTGCGTGGGTTTCCTCAGGGTGCTCCGGTTTCCCCCACAGTCCAAAGACATGCGGCACAGGTGAATTAGGTTGGCCAAATTGCCCGTAGTGTATGAATGTGTGTGTGGATGTTTCCCAGAGATGGGTTGTGGCTGGAAGGGCATCCGCTGCATAAAAACGTGTTGGATAAGTTGGCGGTTCATTCCGCTGTGGCGACCCCAGATTAATAAAGGGACTAAGCCGACAAGAAAATGAATGAATAAATAAAAATAATGCGGGCAGAATACATAAATAAATAAATACGTCAATCAATAAATTAACCAGTTAAACTCTGCTGCTATTTTGGAATTTTGCCTGCCCAAATTTAAAAGCTTCCCAAATCCACATGCAGAGGTGTAAATGCAAACATTTGGTATCATTTAAAAGAAAACCCTTTGAGTTTTCATTAAACACTATTGAAAGTGTTTAAAATATCTGTAGATGTCGTCTGTGTTATAATAAACACCTAAATAAAGAGGCGCTTTTAGTATTTATTTTTAATCAACTCAAATTTGAAAGTGTAGCTTTTAGGTTGTGTGTGGTCTAGCGTGCTGTAATTAATTTTGGTGGTCCCTGCACATGTCTGTAATCATAGGAAATAAAAAAGTCTCCACCATAATCTATGCAGAAGTTATTGTGTTCCAGCTGATGAGAGGTGCTGTACAAGCCACAGGGAGCGATCATTGTGTTCATATTTCACTATTCTTTTGTTTGATCAAACATAATTCACTGTGTTTGGAGCACGTCAGAGATATAACAGCATTACTTATGCACATCAGCTCAAAAACAGAGGAGAATGGCCCTAAAGCGCACAGCATAAGGTAAGAGATGACAGCTGTCTGTGCTATCTGGGGCTGCTTATTGATCATGAATGTATTGTTTTCACTTCTACGTCATGGAAACACTGCAATTCATTCGGCAACTGTTTGACATGTGAATATAATTCAGTAAAATGAATGCTAGAACCGTATGAGCACCGGCAAGAGCTTTCATTTGAGCTGTAACTTGTACATGTGTCATATGACAAATATGAAAATAAACCAGTGTAAAACACCCAGCTCGGGTCTCCAAAATACTGTGTGTTTAAGTGTAAATAACTTTTGTACAGTAGAATAAAAATCAAAGTGATGCATATGAGCGTAAAATATAGATTCTACACTTTCAAATGAATCCACTTACGGGGGTCTGGTGCAATGCTGGCCCTTTAAATCTAAAAAGCGAAAGTCGATGGCGTCACAGACCCGGGTCCGCGGAGTTTAGCTGGTTAACCTCTGCATTTAACTTCTGACAGAACACTTTTATCAAAGGGAGGTACATGTGAGTTTTACTCGTAGGTCAAATAATTTACAAAGAAAAAATTCACTGCAGCATATCTTTTATCTCAGTTATTGCACATATCCATGAAGTAGTGGTTTTTGTAATAGCGCCAGGCATCCTCGCCACAGACAGATCCATGTTTGTGATGTCCAAGAACATATCGAAGCTCTGCAGCGCTTGTTTGGTCTGCATGTTCTGCTCCTTCTTGATTGAGCTAAATGAAGCAGGTGTGAAAGCACTGTGTAATGCAATAACGTTATTGATCTCCGTGTGTGTGTGTGTGTGTGTGTGTGTGTGTGTGTAGCCAGAGAACCTGCTGTACTACAGTCCAGATGAAAATGCCAAGATCATGATCAGTGACTTCGGTTTGTCCAAGATGTCTGATCATGGTGTGATGTCCACCGCCTGCGGGACGCCGGGATATGTTGGTATGTATGGTTTTGTGTGTGTCTAAATATATTTATATAGTTAAAGTCTGATTTATTCGCCCTCCTTTTATAATCAGTTTCTGTTTAACAGATTTTTCTCAACATTTCGTATCATAATAGTGTTAATAACTCATCTCTAATCACTGATTTATTTCCTCTTCATCATGATGACAGCACATAATATTAGACTAGATATTCTTCAAGACACTTCTATACAGCTTAAAGAGACATGTAAAGGCTTCACTAGGGTAATTAGGGTAAAGTTAGGGTAATTAGGCAAGTCATTGTATAACAGTGGTTTGTTCTGGAGACAATCCAACACTAATATTGCTGAAGGGGTGAATAATATTGACCTTAAAATGGCTTAAAAACTATTAAAAACTGCTTTATTCTAGCCCAAATAAAACAAATCAGGATTTCTCCAGAAGAACAAATCGTCACCTTAGAATTATCATGTTCTATCTGACATAAATGACATCTTATTCACATTATGTGATGTTTTTGTTTAAGTTGTTTACATAAATAATATATAAAATAATTACGGTTTATCTACAAAGTGGAACTCTAGCTTGGCTCTATAAGGTTCTTTCTGTGAGCCAATCAGCATTTTTAATGCACGCACGAGGACCAATCAGGATCAGCTTTCTTTGTCATTTCGCCGAACTGCTCTATTGACAGCGAAAAAGACCAGAAAGACAAAATCACACAAAATCAGAGTCGACTAAATAATGCACCACACCAATTTGAGAAGAAATGTGTAAATGTGATGATTAAGAAGCATTTTTTGACATTGAGATGAAACTGTTAATTTTACAGTTGAAAAAATGAATTTATTAAATGTGAAATATTTGTTATTCGTGTATATAAAGTCAGTGAAACATGTGTCAGTGTTTATTAAACTCATTTGCTTTAAAATTTTAAAGACTTTAAAAGCCTTAAATTTAATATTATCAAACCTTGAATGACAAATAATTCAGTTAATAGCGCAAATAATCCAATAAATATAAATCAATAATTCATATAAAGCATAAGATTTAATGAATAAAAGCATATTAATTTGATAAAGTTAACTAAACACTTGAGCCAGCCTTGTATGATTAATTTGAACAAGTAAAAATATTCATGCTGAAACATTATTGTTATAGAAAGCAAACATGTAACTTTCTAAAGCATCAACATATTGTTACAACACCAAATGATGTATTTTTGATTGTATTTCTTAAAAAGTAATGCTTCATTGAATGATCTGCCCGCAAGAACCTCATAACTCCAAGTGGAAAATGGCTTTTCAGAGCTAGAAGATTCTCTCTGCATTTACCGTGGTTTATTTACTCCAATTTACAGATGTAAGAGAACTTTGATATTTAACATGTAGAGTACATTTATGGTCTCTGTCATGTTAATGTAAGAAAGAGAACTGTTACACACATATCGTTTGCTGTATGCTATATAAAGCTCAATATCTCAAGATCATTCAGAACGCAGAGAGAACTTTATAAATCCAAAGTGACGAAATATTAGAATTAAAATGCTGTGAAAAATTCCTGAATCTGTTCAACATCCTTTGGGAAATATTTGAAGAAGTTCACAGGAGGGCGAATAATTGTGACTCCTCTCATACCACACCCATCATTTTCATGGTAACTTTCACAAGACACGCAAACTTGTGTTTTTGATTGAAGCCGCCAGACTGCTTGATAAAACATCAGCACAAGGTTTGCCAATTAGTCTCCTTATAAAATACAGTGTTTGTCGTTTCTCCTCAGCGCCGGAGGTCCTGGCTCAGAAACCCTACAGTAAAGCTGTGGACTGCTGGTCAATCGGAGTCATCACCTACATTCTGTGAGTCTCCGGACTTTATATACACTGCTGTGATGATCCCGTCCTGCTTATGTCCTCATCTAATCATGCGTTTCCTCAGGTTGAGCGGATACCCGCCGTTCTATGAGGAAAACGAGACCCGTCTGTTCTCCAAAATCATGAAGGCAGAGTATGCGTTTCACTCGCCGTACTGGGACGACATCTCCGAGTCCGGTGAGTAAAAAAACAAACTCATTACTGCCATCTAGAGCCCGACCAATGCACTACAACATCATTACCGCTGGAAATACCTCAATGCTGCAGCTGTTTACTTTCATTGTTTACTCAGTGATTATCTAAATTCCTTTAGATACCTGATGCTTTCTTTAAGGCGTCTGCAAAGCCGGAAAAAGTTTTGCATCCAGCTGGCTTTGTTCACAGCGGCTTTTTTGCTAGTTTTTCTTCAGAAATTATTAATGTACAAATGAAGCACTGCATATAAGGGTTTTATTTTTATTTACGCTATTAAATGAGTAACTGTAAAAAGGACTGCCTCCATAGTTTTAGTGTTGCCATACTTACGAGATTAGTATGCTGCGATGCTATATACAGTTGCAATCAGAATTATTAAACCCCTTATAGTGACATTAAGCTTAAAGTGACATTTAAAGGCTTAACCAGGTTAATTAGGTTAACTAGGCAGGTTAGGGTAATTAGGCAAGTTTGTTCTGAAGACAATCGAATAAAAATGTAGCTTAAAGAGGCTAATAATATTGACCTTAAAATGGTGTTTAAAACATAAAAAACTGCTCTTATTTTAGCTGAAATAAAACAAATAAGACTTTCTCCAGAAGAACAAATATTATCAGACATACTGTGAACATTTCCCGGCTCTGTTAAACATCGTTCGGGAAATATTTAAAAAAGAAAAAGAAATAATTCAACTTTAACTGTATGTCACGATCACCAGCGATCTAGCCATTGAAGATCGCTGGAGAACTATGCCTCTTTAATGAACTTCAACTCCCATCACGCACTTCACACACACACCTGTTCCTTTATGCCTCTGAGTACACACACACAGCTGTAAGTTCATGATTGACAAGATAAACAAGACTCAGCAAAGCGTGTGTGAATGAGGTGTCTTTATAGTCAATCATGAACTTTCGGCTGTGTGTGTGTGTGTGTAATCAGAGGCATAAAGGAACAGGTGTGTGTGTGTGAAGTGCATGATGGGAGTTGAAGTTGAAGTGATCGTGACATACAGTTAAAGTTGAATTTTTTCGCCCCCCTTTAAATTTATTTTTCTTTTTTAAATATTTCCCAAACGATGTTTAACAGAGCAAGAAAATGTTCACAGTATGTCTGATAATATTTGTTCTTCTTGAGAAAGTCTTGTTTGTTTAATTTCAGTTAGAATAAAAGCAGTTTTCAATGTTTTAGAACCCTTTTCAAAATGAGGTTGGCGTCAGCGGCGGCCATGGTGTAGGGCTATGCGTCAATGCGTAGGCTGCGCCGTAGCATACGCGTGCGCTTAACGCAGAAGTATAAATCAGCCTTTACACTGATGGAATTCTGCTCAGAGGTGGTTTTGTAATAACATGACTTAGCATGCTAACAATGTGCTAAAACATTTAGCAACATGTTTCTTGTATGCTAAAATATGTTCTAAAACATGCTAACATATGTTAAATGTATGCTAAAACATTAGCATTAGCATTAACAACAACATACTTCATGACTTTAATATGGTGACTTCAAACTTTACACCTCCAGACCTTGTAAACCATCGTTAGACTTTCCCTGCAGTTTTCTCAGTTGATCCTTCTGGAATATGTTTTTTTCTTCTTTTGTTTCTTTGCGACTGATTCTAAACTGTTTTGTGAATTTTATTTACAGCGAAAGACTTTATCAGGCACATGTTGGAGAAAAACCCCAGCAAACGCTACACCACTGAACAAGCGCTCAGTCATCCATGGTGAGAAACACATATTCTATAGTATATAGAATATTTCTATAGTAGGAATATAAATGATCAATACAAAAACATAATTAAGCATAAATACTGAAAATATGGATCTAAGCATGTAAATATGCTTGCAGATTGCTAAATCAGTTTAGTTGATTTTCTATATCGACTTTGTTTTCTCTCTTCAGGATTATTGGAGACACGGCGCACAACGACAACATCATTCACTCCGTCTGTGAGCAGATACAGAAGAACTTTGCCAAATCCAAGTGGAAGGTGAGAAAGATGATGGATTACAGTTACTGATTACAATTTACACAACAGAATGAGCAGTCTGTAATGTAATCTCGTATATTACATATTTAGGGTCATGTAATCTGATTACCTTTGGATTACATTTAGATTACTTTTATGGTAACATAATCTGACTACTTTTGGATTACATTTAGATTACTATTATGGTAGCGTAATTGACTACTTTTGGATTACATTTAGATTACTTTTATGGTAGTGTAATCTGACTACTTTTGGATTACATTTAGATTACTATTATGTTAGTGTAGTCTAACTACTTTTAGATTACATTTAGATTACTTTTTGTTAGTGTAATCTGACTACTTTTGGATTATATTTAGATTACTTTTATGGTAGCGTAATTGACTACTTTTGGATTACATTTAGATTACTTTTATGGTAGTGTAATCTGACTACTTTTGGATTACATTTAGATTACTTTTATGGTAGTGTAATCTGACTACTTTTGGATTACATTTAGATTACTATTATGTTAGTGTAGTCTAACTACTTTTAGATTACATTTAGATTACTTTTTGTTAGTGTAATCTGACTACTTTTGGATTATATTTAGATTACTTTTATGGTAGCGTAATTGACTACTTTTGGATTACATTTAGATTACTTTTATGGTAGTGTAATCTGACTACTTTTGGATTACATTTAGATTACTTTTATGGTAGTGTAATCTGACTACTTTTGGATTACATTTAGATTACTATTATGTTAGTGTAGTCTAACTACTTTTAGATTACATTTAGATTACTTTTTGTTAGTGTAATCTGACTACTTTTGGATTACATTTAGATTTCTTTTATGGTAGCGTAATCAGACTACTTTTGGATTACATTTAGATAAAATTTATGTTAGTGTAGTCTGACTACTTTTGGGTTACATTTAGATTACTTTTATGGTAGCGTAATCTGACTACTTTTGGATTACATTAGTTTGTTTAATGGTAGTGTAGTCAGGCTACTTTGGATTACATTTAGATTACTTTTATGGTAGTGTAATCTGAGTACTTTTAGATTACATTTTGATTACTTTTATGGTAGTGTAATGAGACTACTTTTGGATTACATTTAGATTACTTTTATTGTAACGCAATAAAGCAGCATTTTTTTACGTTTGTCTTTAGCGTTTTTTTAAGTTAGCATTTTCTACATTTTTTATTTGACGTTAGCATTAGCATTTTTTTAGATGAGCATTTTCTATGTGTTTTATTTTAATCAGTTTGACTTTAGTATTTTTTGCATGCTTTTTGATGTCATTTTTGACTTCAAGGTCACCCCTCAGTTACAAGCACTTGATTTTGGTATCTGATCATGTAATCCAGATCTTATGTAATTTGTTACTACTTTAATTAAAGGATTGGTGTGTGTGTGTGTGTGTTTTCAGCGTGCCATCAATGCATCAGTGGCAGTCAGTCACATGCGCCGTCTGCAGCAGAGCCACACTGACCCCGCCCCGCCAGCCCCCACACCGCTTATACAGGTGCTGGACGTCTCCGCCCCCGGTCCACCCCCTGACCTGTTGGACACCAATGGGAACCCGTCCTGCAGTCACATGTCCCTGGCACCTCATGCTGATGTCAGGGGGCGTGGCCCGCTCAAGGCCTGCAATAGTGAGCCGATGCACGCGCTGGTGATCTGCGAGACGGGTCAACATGCATATCACTCTGAATCTGACCTGCCCTGTGCTGCTAGCAGGTACAACACGACGCTAAACACTTTCATTATTACCTGTATTTCTATTTAATATCATGCTTTAGTTAGCCTGCTCCATTTTCAACATGTAGCAGTGCATTCTGGCATTTTTAGACCAAACTATTTAATGTTTTCAACATCCGTTTGTGAAATTAAAATCATAAAACCATTTTTGTTTAATTATTAGAAAAGTATAATGAGCCTGATCTGAAATAAATACATTAAATGTTGTATAAAATATAGAATACTTTCAGTTTCAAGTATAAAAGCTCCACATTCCAGTTTGCTGATGAAATGTTTGTTTTATTTAGTGTACTGAAACAATTTGATTCATTTAGCTTGTTCATCTCTGTCTGGTTTTATGATTCTTTAATGATTACTGTAATCAATGATTAGTAGCATTGATTATTGAAACATTGGGGGGGGGGGGGGGGTGTAGGGAAATGTTCTCGAGCCGGGATTTGAACTCGGGACGCCCTAACCTCGGGACGCATGCTAACCACTAGGCTATTGTGCCAACCAGTTAGTTCCTTTTCAATTAATGAATTTAAAGAGCTGAATCACAAATTTAATTCAGTTTTATTCAGTGAATCAACTTTTATGAATCAGTGAATCGATTCTGTGTTTGAGTTCAGTTCATTCAGTTCCCTTTTCCAGTCAGTGAATTAAAAGATTTGATTCAAAAATGTAATTCAGTTCATTCGTTTAAGTAAATCAACATTTATGAGTCGGTGTATTGATTCTGTTTAACTTAAATTCATTCAGTTGCTCATTTAAAAAATGAATTCATAGAGTTGAATCAAGTTTAAATCAGTTACTAACTTCGATTCAGTAAATCAACATTTATGAATCAGTGAATTGATTCTATTTGAGTTTATTTCATTCAGGTGCATCAAGAATGTAACTCTGTTACTTCGTTTGATTCAGTGAATCAACTTTAGTGAGTCAGTGAATCGATTCTGTGTTTTAAGGTTTAATTAAGAAAATCGAAGAGTTGATTCAGCAATTGAATTCAGTTAGTTTGATTCAGTGAATCAACTTTTATGAATCAGTAAATTGATTCTGTTTAAGTTCAGTCCATTCAGTTATTTATTTCAGTTAATGAGTTCAAAGAGTTGATTCAAATATTTAACTGTTAGTTTGATTCGGTGAATCGATTCTCTGTTTGAGTTCAGTTCATTCAGTTCCCTCAAACTTCATTCAGTTAATTCGTTTAAGTAAATCAACTTTTATGAATCAGTGAATTGATTCTGTTTGTATTCAGTTCATTCAGTTGCCCATTTCAAAAAATGAATTCAGAGTTGAATCAAAAGTTTAACTCTGTTACTTCGTTTGATTCAGTCAATCAACTTTAGTGATTCAGTGAATCGATTCTGTGTTTGAGTTCAATTAATGAAATCAAAGAGTTGATTCAGCAATTTAATTCAGTTAGTTTGATGAATCAACTTCTATGAACCGCCAAATTGATTCTGTATTCATTCAGTTGTCCATTTCATTTAATCAATTCAAAGAGTTGATTCAAAAATGTAACTCTTAGTTTGATTTCAGTGAGTCAACTTTTACAAGAAAGTGAATCAAATCTGTGTTTATCTTTAATGAATTCAGTTGATAAAAACATTAAATCAGTTCATAAATTTTGAGTCAGTGAATTGATTCACGAGTCAATTTGAATAGACAAGTAATCAGAATTGATTCAGTGAGTCAATTTGTAAGTGATTCTTGCAGTTACATTGCCATTTGTAATGCTTTTAAACAGTTTATTGTTATATTTCAGCTTTTAATCTCTAAAACCCGTGTGTGTGTGTGTGTGTGTGTGTGTGTGTGTGCTTCAGGTCGGACAGAGTGACAGATGGGCGGGGCCTTTCTATGCAGACCGGAGTTTGCAGTGTGATGTAATGCTCTGAGCTGTGATTGACAGCTGTCAGTCAGATGAGGTGGGTGTGGGAGTTTTTTGATCATCTTTAAAAGTGAAAGTGAAAGTAAAAGTGTGACACGCGTCTGTGTGTGTGTGTGTTCTCCGTCTCTCAGGTGTGTGTTTCTCTCACGGCTGTGACTGAGTGCCAATCTCACACTGCGTCTGCGTCTCACATCCAGAGGAATTCAGGATCAGGCCGATCATTCTCATCCTCCGTCTGTTTTTTCCACATCCAGCAGTCGCCGAGCATCATGGGAAGGCGGATCACATGTGCCACTGTATTATTGAGAACGGCTGCGGGGTTTTATTCCTGAGGGGAGCCGGAGGACTGTGTTTAAAGAAGATTATTTTCGTATTTATCGCTCATATTGGAGGAGCTGCTCTCTGTATTTATCTTTTGTATCTGCAGATTTGGAGATCAGCTGACTGCTGGTTTAGGGATTTATAATGTGTGTATCACAGAGCGCTGATGTAAACAAACGCTAATGTGTGTCTGTATTAAACACATTTCAATAAAAGTATTTACACACCAGCCTGCAGAGCTCATGTGCTAGCAAATGTCGGACTTAATACTTCATCACGGTGGCGCAGTGGGTAGCACTGTGGTCTCACAGCAAGAAGGTTGCTGGTTCAAGTCCCGGCTGGGTCAGTGTGTGGAGTTTGCATGTTCTCCCCGTGTTGGCGTGGGTTTCCTGTGGGAAACACATGCGCTATAGGGGAATTGATGAAACTGGCCATAGTTTGTGAGTGTGTGTGTGTGTGTGAATGAGTTGCAGCTGGAAGAGCATTCGCTGTGTAAAACATATGCTGGAATAGTTGGCGGTTCATTCCACTGTGGCAACCCCTGATAAATAAGAGACTAAGCTGAAGGAAAATTAATGAAATGATCTAATTTAATGAGTAGAAATGTAATTCTTGCTCATTAATTAATTAAATTAATTAATTAATTTGGCTGTAAAAATACATTTTTGTTGTTTGTTTAATTGAAATCTATAAATTGAGTTCATATTCGAGTATTTTTGTTTAGAGAGAGCTTTTAAATGTCCAGATTTCCTTTTAATTTTGGTATTTTGTCAGTTTTGTTATATTTTTCTTTATATTTATATTATTATATATCCACTTTTTAGTCTATTTTTTTATTTATCACTTTATTTTGATTTTATTTTAGTAAGTTTATATCTGGAATTATTTTTAAATGTTTGTTTCACAATGTGCATTATTTTAAAAATGTTAATTTAATGCTACTTTCATTTAATTCTGTCATTTAACAGTATTTAATAATATTCGGGAATTGACTTTGTTCATATTTAACTGTAATTAATTTCTTTTTTAGCTTTTAAATGAATAATAATTTTCCGTTTTTCAGTTTTGCTTTCAGTAATTGTAGTATTTCATTTTGATTTAAGCAGTTCTATTTGATTTCATCAGAGCATTTCAGTTATGGTCAGGTTGTAAAAGCTTTATTGATGACAGCACATTTCAGAAAGCAGTGTACACAGTGTTGTGTATTAATATTCCACAGATCTCTTCATAACACACACTCAGTCCTCATTCACACACTTTATTATCATCATTTCTGTGTATCCACATGTAAAAAATATAATAGTGTATGGTAAATACTAGTGTTTTTGAACCATCCTACAGTAAAGTGTATCATACAGTATGTAGTGTAATGTTTACTAACTGTTAATGAATGCTGCAGCATACTGTAGTGCTGACTATAGTCAACTGATAAAATCTTATAAATACTGTAGTTTACTTAAATTTTTACTTCAGTAAACTGTGGTGTAGTGTAGTATAATAGAGTTTATTATTGTAGAAAACTACAGTATTGCCTCATTCGTGTATATTTATACAGTTGTTCTGTTACCATAGCAACTGTAGAATCGCCATAACAGATCAAATACTATAGTAGTTGTGTTACCATAGCAACTGTAGAATCGCCACAACAGATCAATTACGATAGCTGTTGTGTTACCATAGCAACTATATAATCACCACAACAGATGAAGTACTATAGTTGTTGTGTGTGTTACCATAGCAATTATAGAACTATCAACAGATTAATTAAGCTGCGGCCACACTGGGCTTTTCTGCCCATAGACTTCCATTCATACTCATGTGAATGCGTCACACCGGAAACGCAAGGCCATGCGGCAAGTTTCGCTGATTGCTGCGTCAGTAAGTTCAAACTTGGTGAACTCTGACCTGCGAAATCGCATCACTTGACTGCGTGAGACCAAGGATCAACACATGACCTCGCTCGCTTTATTAAATGTCTAATCATCTTGTTTAATCCCGCCCCTTTTCGCAGAGCTGTGCGACTTTTGCATGCTCAAACTTTGACCACAGCTTTACTATACTTTTTATGTTACCATAACAACTGTAAAACCACCACAGCAGATCAAGAACGATAGTTGTTTTGTGCGTTACTATAGCAACTATCGAATCACAACAGAACAATCACTATAGTAGTTGTTACCATAGCAACTATAGAATCACCACAACAGAATAATCACTATTGTTGTGTTACCATAGCAACTATAGAATCACCACAACAGAATAATCACTATTGTTGTGTTACCATAGCAACTATTGAATCACCACAACAGAATAATCACTATTGTTGTGTTACCATAGCAACTATAGAATCACCACAACAGAATAATCACTATTGTTGTGTTACCATAGCAACTATTGAATCACCACAACAGAATAATCACTATTGTTGTGTTACCATAGCAACTATAGAATCGCCACAACAGAATAATCACTATTGTTGTGTTACCATAGCAACTATAGAATCACCACAACAGAATAATCACTATTGTTGTGTTACCATAGCAACTATAGAATCACCACAACAGAACAATCACGATAGTAGTTGTGTTACCATAGCAACTATAGAATCACCACAACAGAATAATCACTATTGTTGTGTTACCATAGCAACTATAGAATCACCACAACAGAATAATCACTATTGTTGTGTTACCATAGCAACTATAGAATCACCACAACAGAATAATCACTATTGTTGTGTTACCATAGCAACTATAGAATCACCACAACAGAATAATCACTATTGTTGTGTTACCATAGCAACTATAGAATCACCACAACAGAATAATCACTATTGTTGTGTTACCATAGCAACTATAGAATCGCCACAACAGAATAATCACTATTGTTGTGTTACCATAGCAACTATAGAATCGCCACAATAAAACAATCACTATTGGTGTTGTTACCATAGCAACTGTAGAATCACCACAACAGATCAAGTACTATAGTTGTTGTGTTACTATAGCAACTATCGAATCACAACAGAACAATCACTATAGTAGTTGTTACCATAGCAACTATAGAATCACCACAACAGAACAATCACGATAGTAGTTGTGTTACCATAGCAACTATAGAATCACCACAACAGAACAATCACGATAGTAGTTGTGTTACCATAGCAACTATAGAATCACCACAACAGAATAATCACTATTGTTGTGTTACCATAGCAACTATAGAATCACCACAACAGAATAATCACTATTGTTGTGTTACCATAGCAACTATAGAATCACCACAACAGAATAATCACTATTGTTGTGTTACCATAGCAACTATAGAATCGCCACAATAAAACAATCACTATTGGTGTTGTTACCATAGCAACTGTAGAATCACCACAACAGATCAAGTACTATAGTTGTTGTGTTACTATAGCAACTATCGAATCACAACAGAACAATCACTATAGTAGTTGTTACCATAGCAACTATAGAATCACCACAACAGAATAATCACTATTGTTGTGTTACCATAGCAACTATAGAATCACCACAACAGAACAATCACGATAGTAGTTGTGTTACCATAGCAACTATAGAATCACCACAACAGAATAATCACTATTGTTGTGTTACCATAGCAACTATAGAATCACCACAACAGAATAATCACTATTGTTGTGTTACCATAGCAACTATAGAATCACCACAACAGAATAATCACTATTGTTGTGTTACCATAGCAACTATAGAATCACCACAACAGAATAATCACTATTGTTGTGTTACCATAGCAACTATTGAATCACCACAACAGAATAATCACTATTGTTGTGTTACCATAGCAACTATAGAATCGCCACAACAGAATAATCACTATTGTTGTGTTACCATAGCAACTATAGAATCGCCACAATAAAACAATCACTATTGGTGTTGTTACCATAGCAACTGTAGAATCACCACAACAGATCAAGTACTATAGTTGTTGTGTTACTATAGCAACTATCGAACCACAACAGAACAATCACTATAGTTGTTGTGTCACCATAGCAACAGTAGAATCACTGCATTGCATTAATACAAGTATTTTGTCTATAGTACGGTTCAAAAACACCAGTGTTTACTATAAATTACTATAGTAGTATTTTTGCTGTGATGAGTGTGTGTTGTTGAGTGTGTGTGGTTTTCCCCTCAGCCCTGGCACATGTTCAGTCTGGTGACTTTATTGCGAATATCGTCTCGGAGCTTCTCCACCTGAGCGTCCAGCCCGAGCAGACGAGTGCTGTTCCCTTCGATGTCTGCCGCTCTCTGCTGTATCGACACCTCTTTATCTGACAAACACAAGCAGTCAGCGGTTACCATGGCGATCAGAGTGTGATTATTGTGATTAGTTAGATTCAGTTTGATTTTCTTCAGTTTGTTTGTTGTATGACAGCGCTCTGTAGGGGCTGTGCACTACAGTTTTGTGTATAAGAAAATCAGCAAAACGTTCTAATCAAAAAGAGAATAGAATTTAAATAAGACAAAACTCGAAGAGAAAAAAGTGACGATTATGGGATGTGCAGTGGGCGGTACCTTTCAGTGCCTTGATGATGTCAGAAGTGTCCGTCATCAGAGACTCCGCCTCCTTCTGCAGGTTCAGCAGACGCACTGAATCTTCTCCAGCTTGAGTGTTTTCAGCCGCCGCCAGCTTCATCTGCTCCAGCGCCTGCTTCAGCTCCTCCAGATCCTGCAGTCGGGTGTTAGTTTAGTAAATAAACCACTGCTGATGATCATGTGTGAGTGTTGGGTGTGTTTCAGTACCTCTGCGGCGCGGTCGGCCTCGTCTTGAGCTAAATTCGCCTGTTTTTGAGCATCGTTTGCGAGCGTTTTTCCTGTTGGCAAGTCTGTTTTGAGTGAGTCCAGCAGGGGGCGCATCTCATCCAGCAGCTCTGGGATACCCACAATCCCCTGCTCTGCGGGAGTCAGAGCATCCTCAATCTGAAACAAACAAGTGAGTGCCATTGTTTGGTTATTAAGTAAGGGATAAAGTACATCCAGGCGTGTTTTATTGCAGATTATTTCACGGCTGCTCTGTATACTTCACTCTGATTGGTCAGTTGGAATGTTCCGAGGTATGTTATTGCCTGATAACAACTCATTAAACTAATAACACTGCTCCGTCAAACAAAACGACAATATACACGTATGCCTGTAGGGGGCACTGCCCAGAGTCAAAGACTAGAGAATACACAAGACGGGTCACTCATATAGTTTTGGAGAAGTGTAATGGTCAATGTGGCAAATGAAGTCCCGCCTACTAGCACAGGAGCCAATCAGCAATTGATATAGACTGAGGGGCTTGGACCAGGCGTGAGTTTCTGCAGATTTTGTGTAATTCAAACATTTAAAAATAAACTAAAGAGACAGTTGTTGTTTAATTTTAATGGTGATTCCGAATTTGAAATATAATCGTAAGCTTTGGAAGCGATTTTGGAGAAATTTCTATTGTGTTTCTATTGTGTTGTGTTTTTTAGTTTTTTGCTAACGTGCAAACTCACACTCCACCCCACACCACACCCTGCTGTTCATCTACGTCATGCAACCCCCACACGCCCCCTCACCTGGTTGTTTTCTCAGAATAAGCCCTTCAGTCTTAGACAACAGAACTACATTTTGCGTCAGGCTGACGATAAACCGTTTGGGCTTTATTCTACGATAATAGCCTCCTGGATGTACTTTATCCTGTTTATAACACTGATATTTGCTACAAAATATTTAAACGCAAAGCTGACAGAAACAAAAACAGCTGATGGAGTAAACAAATTTGCTTAATTTGCACATCAAATTCGCTTCATTCAGGCTTCAAATTCGCTTAATTAGCCCATTAAATTTGCGCATCGGATTTGTTTTTTTATTCACGCATCAAATTCATTTAATTTGTGCATCAAATTTGCCTAATTTGCGCATCTAATTAGCCCTTCTAATTTGCTTAATTTGCGTATCAGATTTCCTTTGTGCATCACATTTGCTTAATTTGTGCATCAGATCTGCTTAATTTGCATCAAATTTGCTTAATTTGCCCATCAGATTTGCTTAAATCGTGTATCAAATTTGCTTAATTTGCACATCAGATTTGTTTAATTCGTCCATCAGATTTGCTTAATTCGCGCATCAAGTTTGCTTAATTTGCGTATCAGATTTGCTTAATTTGCGCATCAGATTTGCTTAATTGACGTTTGCTTAATTTGCGCATCAGATTTGCTTAATTTTGCACATCAGAATTGCTTAATTCGCGCATCAAATTCACTTCATTCACGCATCAAATTTGCTTAATTTGCGTATCAGATTTGCTTTGTGCATCACATTTGCTTAATTTGCACATCAGATTTGCTTAATTCGCGCATCAGATTCGTTTAATTCGCGTATCAAATTTCCTTAATTTGTGTATCAGATTTGTTTAATTTGCGTATCAAATTTGCTTAATTTGCGCATCAGATTTGCTTAATTTACGTTTGCTTAATTTGTGCATCAGATTTGCTTAATTTGTGCAAAAGATTCGCTTTATTTGTGCATCAAATTTGCTTATTTTGCACATCAGAATTGCTTAATTCGCGCATCAAATTCACTTCATTCACGCATCAAATTTGCTTAATTTGCGTATCAGATTTGCTTTGTGCATCACATTTGCTTAATTTGCACATCAGATTTGCTTAATTCACGCATCAGATTCGTTTAATTCGTGTATCAAATTTCCTTAATTTGTGTATCAGATTTGCTTAATTTGCGCATCAGATTTGCTTAATTCGCGCATCTAATTTGTTTAATTAGGTATCAGATTTGCTTAATTTGCGCATCAGATTTGCTTAATTTACGTTTGCTTAATTTGTGCATCAGATTTGCTTAATTTGTGCAAAAGATTCGCTTTATTTGTGCATCAAATTTGCTTATTTTGCACATTAGAATTGCTTAATTCGCGCATCAAATTCACTTCATTCACGCATCAAATTTGCTTAATTTGCGCATCAGATTTGCTTAATTTGCGCATCTAATTTGCTTAATTTGCATCAGATTTGCTTAATTTGCGCATCTAATTTGCTTAATTTGCATCAGATTTGCTTTATTTGCGAATCAAATTTGCTTAATTTGCGCATCAGATTTGCTTAATTCGGGCATCAGATTTGCTAAATTTGCGCTTCAAATTTGCTTAAATTGCGCATCAGATTTGCTTAATTTGCGCATCAGATTTGCTTTATTTGCGCATCAGATTTGCATACCTGCCCAACCTATACACTAACCTACGCATTATTCAAACACTAGATGGTGCTAAACAGTCGAAAACAGCTGATGGAGTATACACTATCCTGCACGTTATTCAGACACTAGATGGCGCCAAACATCAAAAACACACAGCTGACAAACACTAAAACAGCTGATGGAGTATACACTAACCTGCGCATTATTCAGACACTAGATGGCGCCAAACAGCAGTGGCGTTAGAGACCAGTATATATATATATATATATATATATATATATATATATATATATATATATACATATATGAACATATTCACTGACGATCAAGATGATTTGAAGTCCCTGGATGAGCCTGTGTTATTAGTTTAATGAGTTGTTATCAGGGAATAACATACCTTGGAATGTCGCAACTGACTAATCAGAATCGAATATTCCAGACAGCCGTGTAATATTGTTTTTTAATAATGGTATGGAGTTTTGTGATTGGTTATGACCTGCTGAATGTCCTTCTTGACGTTTTCCGCAATGGTTCCGCTTTGATTGATTTTGTCCTTCAGGTCGTCCAAAATGTTCTCGTTTTCGTCCATGGTCTTCAGAATGCTCTCCGCGTCCTGCTGGATGCCAAACGCTGCGTCACTGCAGACGGAAACGTTCAAGCAATGTTAGCTAGTTTGCATTAATATGCATCAGCCGTGTATGTTTGTGTTGCCGTGTGAGTTTTGCGGAACCATGAGTAGATTTGTGTTATTGTGTGTATGTTTACAGTACTGTGTGTTGTTACCGTGTGTTTATAGCTCTCTTCAGGAGTTGTTTAGCCTCCTCCAGCTGTGCTCTGCTATCCTCCAGAGCTCCACTGCTATCAGGAACAGACTTCATCGCATCCTGAATCTCCTTCAGCTTCTTCTTCAGATTCTCCACACTGGCGGGAAACTGAGCCTCCAGAACGCCGTCACACACACGCTGCACCTGATCCGGGTCTGACTGAGGGTCTGAATACAAAACGAACAACGAACAACCTCAATTTAAAGGTGACGTGCTTTGAAATGTGCCTTTTTTATTCGATATTTGATGTAATCTCAACTGAAACATAAAGAGGGGCGGGACATAGAGTAGCTCCTCCCATTTAAAAAAAACAGCCAATAGTGTTGTTTTTCATAGCTCTGTCAGTGGGAGTGGTTGAGCTCAAGTGCATCAAGTGAGCAGCCAACGAGAAGAAGGGGGCGGGGCATGTCATACTAGAGCATAGGTCTCAAACTGGATTCCTGGAGGGCCACAGCTCTGCACAGTTTTGCTCCAACCCTAATCAAGCACAGCTGATCCAACTAATCAAAGTGTTCAAGACTACTAGAGACTATTAAGCCGGTGTGAGTTGGAGGTGGTTGGAAATAAACTAGCAGCTTGAGCTGCGGCCCTCCAGGAGTTGAGTTTGAGACCATTGCATATGATTGGTCAGAAGATTCCATGAGAAAAAATCGTTGATGCATTTACACGGAAGTGGCAAACTGCAAGCTTTGGATGTTTATATCTTCTAAATTTGCTAATTTTGTCACTGTTTTGGAACACAATATCTTATAGATATCTTTAACGGGGCGTTCACACCAGATGCTGCTTGTGCAGATATATAGCGCAAAATTAGATTAGTGAATATTTTAAGTTTAATCCCTTCATTCACACTTCAAATTTGCTTGATTTGCGCATCATATTCGCTTTATTAGCCCATCAAATTTGCTTAATTTGCACATCAGATTCGCTTAATTCACCCATCAAATTCGCTTCATTCATGCATCAAATTCACTTAATTTGCGCATCAAATTTGCTTAATTTGTGCATCAGATTTGCTTAATTTGTGCATCAGATTTGCTTAATTTGCGCATCAATAGTTGCAGATTCATGTCATGGACAGAGCTATAGTCTGCCCGGTGACTCTAGCTTTGTTGCTAAATGGCAAACATGGATTTTATTGAGAGAGTAGCTGTGTTTATGTGCTTTAGTAAGACTGAAAAACAGCCTAGATTTGTTCGGTGCCGTGTCAGAGTACACTAGATTCATTCATCAACTCCTCCAGAAACTGAACCTGTATGATGGAGGCTTTCAGCGGTGCTTCAGACTGAGCCAAGGCCAGTTGTCTGTTGTTGGCAAGAGGATTTCCCATCGGGGCACCAACAACAGGTGCTACGTCATAATCACACCCCTACGAGAGCAAGCTTCTGATTGGTTAACACGGCGGAATGTTTGCTAAAGCTCGAGTGGTTCGTCAAACATGCAAAATCCTCAATTCACGCCACATGATGTCTGTTTGTATTTTTGCATTGACTTAACATGTAAATCACTTAGGCTTGACACCTCATCCACGTTTAGTGTGCACGTACCATCAGACTAACATCATACCTGCCCAACATTTGTCTCTGAAAATCCGGGAAGGGGGTGGCAATGTGTGTTTGTCTGAATAACACAGTTGAGATATGGGTTAGTAACTGTACTATGGACTGGGGTCAGGGCGGCCGATGCGATCGGATACTATTCCAAAGTTGTCGACAAGGAGGTGTTACTGACTGAACCAAAAAGCTGAGGACTGGGGGTATTCCACGAGAAATAACTGTGCATTCACACAGGGCTTCATAGTCTACGCTTGACCGAAGGCATGTCTGAAGTTGGGGCTGATGTGCTCATCATAGTAGCGTCAGCCAATGAAATTAGTCCAAAATCGGCTACTGTCTGAGCTGGAGTATTTGCTTAAAGCGATCTGATTGGCTGATGCTTCTATTGGTGCTTGAAAAAAATTTCCCAACTTCTGCAGTGAGCAGTGCCACTGAATTGGTGCTGACAGATCCACAATGCAGTTCGGCACTGACTGATGTCACCTATTAAAAGTGAATGGGAAGCGTTGACGCTGACGCCCTGTGTGAATGGAGACTAACAAAATTGGAGGGTGCAGGAGATGGGTCTGAAATACGGGGGTATTGGCAAGTATGACTAACGTACTGATACTAACAGTTGAAGTTTGTCTGTACAGCACTTTTCACAATACTTATTGTTTTAAAGCAACTTTAGAGGGTGCAAAAGATGCACCTTTTTGCATTACGATCAAATTCAGAAAAGTTAAGTTAATTGGTTACCATAGTTACTATAAGTTAGTTAAAACATGTAGAAATGTTTTATTTTCAAGTCATGCAAACTTAAAGTATACAGAGTATGTGCAGCTTTACAAGAAACTCACCGGACAGAAAGTCCCTCAGAGTGTTTATGAAGTCTTTGGTGTCCTTCAGGTCTCCGTCCACATCGGCTCGCGCCTGCTTGATTTGATTGGCTAGTTTGTCAGTGGAAAGTCTCACCCTATTGGCTGAATCTTCAGCTTCCTGTATCTGTGTGTCAGAGAATATGTTTAGTTACCGTTCTCTTGTCATAACCTTGACTATTAAACTTTTCTTCATTGTCTCGTCTTTTTAACCCTTATGTGGTGTTTTCATTCACTTTGGGCTGATTTTGCGGCTTAATTTGTGCACAACTTGGATTCTTGGTTTATGTCATGACTTTACTTGACGGGTACATTATTATCATTAACTATTTCTTAACTACTCAACAACTCCTGTGCTTGAATGTAACTGTTATCGGTCTAGTTTGTGTTTACGTTGAAAAACAAAGCGTTCTGTCGACATCAGAATGAACAATTTAACCACAGGAGTTCATCATAGTTCCTAATGAAGTGACGTTTAGTTTACATGTTAGTACATCGGTAGTCATGTACTGTTATTATAAAGTGTTAGGACAATTATTGTTTCGGTGTGTTACCTGTGCCGCTGCTTTCGTTATTTTATCGTTGAGCTCCTGCAGTTTAGCCTTCACTTCGTCCGCGTCCTGAAAGGCTCTGTTTGCATTGGGAAGAGCTCCAGCGCAGTTGTCCTCCGCTCCACATGGGGGCGCTCCATTAGGAGGACACATATCCCCTGTGCAGCGCTCTGGAGTACACGGCTCCACACGATCACCACCACACACCTGAGAAACACACAATTAATCTTCTGAAAATCAACTTTTTTTTTTGTTTTCGCAAATCGGTTGCGGAAAGATTACCTTGACGGCGGTGGGTGTCAGATTGGGCCGGGTTGCCAGATCCTTCTTCAGCTTCTCCAGATCTTTGGTATTTCCAGGCTGAACATCGTATAAGCCACTCAATGCATTTTCTCGGATGCCTTCAGATTTCTTCAGCGTATCTTCAGTGGCGTTTGCTCGCTTGATGGCATCTGTCGACTTATCGAATGACCTCTGAATGGCGACGAAAGCACCTGAGAATTAAATCAGCTACTGTTAGAGTGTGTGGCACGGATGGAAACAGTAATTAGTGATTGCTCGGATCAAAAATTAAAGTTTGTTTTGACATAATATATATATTAGGGATGTAACGGTATCAGAATTTCACGGTACGGTAATACCTCGGTATGAATGTCACGGTACGGTATTTATTAAATAATTTACAGGAAAAACAAAACTTATGAAAATACTCCAAAAAAGTGCCAAAAGTGTCAATGACATACAAATTAGCCATCTATCTGTAAGCTTTGAAACAGGAACTTCAATTTTAATAACAAAAAAATATTAAACCATGTAAAAAAATTAAGTTTCAATTTAGTATTGTTGAAAAGTCATCACATTCAACATTTAATCACTCACTCACTTAGATAGAGATGGGTTTAAAGGAAAATTATCATATAAATATAATCTGGTAAAAGCTGGTATCTCTGGGTATTTACAACGTCCCCTACAACAGAAAAAAAACCTCTCATTTGGGACTGAGGTTTCTAGGACGAGAGATATGACTTGGCCCAGGTTGACAGCAGTGGGTAACGCTGTGCATTGTCTTTCCCCCACTTGAGAAGACAAACCATGAGTGAGATAGAGGTTTCATGTCTGCATCAATCTGAACAGTGTGCTGTGTTTCTGCAGTCCCCATGACTGATTATTAGTCCTATTCCCCAACTTGCAGGCACGTGCACACACAGTGCTCAACCTGTGCAGTGCACATGCCCTTTTTAGTCTTGGATAGAAAGTTCCCTTCCAAAATGACCAAAACACGACATACCCTCCGTCCCTGCTTTACAGTAAGTTACGAGCGCGACAACACAGCTGATAAGAACTCGCGCGACAACACCACTATTCAGTACGCGCGCGGCGACAACACCCGCTTTAGGGTTTTCCAGCTCTTTTTGATCCCCGCTTCTAGCAGCACACTCCATTTCCGCATTACTGGATCTGTAGCGACAACAGACCGCAAGGGATGATGGTCAAGCATGGGCTGATGGGAATTGTAGTTTCCGGTACCTCCCGTTCGCTTCATTCGCCTGAGCAAATTTTCTCAGAAGACCTATAGTTTTACCGAGTCATGCGACTACGGTAATATCGAAAAAAATAATATTGCGGTATGACGGTATTTACAATACCGTTACATCCCTAATATATATATATATATATATATATATATATATGCATATACAAATACACACATGCAAGCGTATATTTGAGAAAATGTTTGTTTATGTTTAGCTATAAATATGATACAAATTATATATCAATTTGAATATGAATGCAACATATATAGTTTTGTTTTTAATATTTACACAACAAATATATATATATATCACACACATGTCTTATGTCAAAACACTTTTATTTTGGAAGCGATTACTTAATCTTTTCTCAGCACTAAAAGTAATATATTACAATCTTAAGCCCAGGCGAGAAAAAAAAACGTAACTTACATTTCTTTCTTACAAATTAACACAGTTTGATCCATGCCATTTTGGGACCCCCAGAGTTACTATAGGGAGTCAAATCAAACACCCACCTTCGCTCTTTCAATTTTCAAATTTCTACTTTGTCCATAACAACAGCCCTCCACTTTCGTCCATGACAACAATTCCCAACCCCCAGTCTTCACTTTTGTCCGCGACAACAACTCTGAACCCCCCTGCTCTACACTTTTGGCTGCGACAACAACTCCCAAGCCCCCGGCCCCCACAACCCTCCACAACAACAACTCTTAACCCCTTGGTCGTCACTTTCACCTGCAACACCACCAACCAGATACCGCCCAGCCTACGCCTCCCAGTCCCCAGTCTTCACTTTCGCCACAATGTTGTCATAGGACTCGTACCAGTCAGTGGCGTCCCTGCATTGAGTTATTTTTTTCTTAAAAGTGACTCCAGATTGTGATATATTTGTTTTTAAAGTTACCCCAGCATTGCATGTTGGATATGTTTATGTGCTAAGAGCTGATACGCACTAGCATTGATGGATTCGCCGCCGCCGTTAATGCCGTGTCTCTTGGTGAAAAAGTCCAGTCTCAGAGACGATAACAGATTCTCCAGATCGTCCAGGCTTCGCTCCAGATCTCGGTCAAGGGGTTGTGAAGGCAGATCATCCCTCAAAGTCTTCATCTGAGACCTGCACAGAACAATATCACATTGTTATTTCCTAAATAGTTCGTTTAGTACTCACAATCATTGTGAAAACCTTTTATTTGTCCTTTTTTGTTTAAATATTTTGACTTTAATATATTTAGAATTCTAATTTATTCCTCATTATTATTATTTTTTTCCTTCATTAACTGCGTCTGTATCCTGTGGAGTTCCTCAGGGCTCTGTCATTGGACCTGTTTGGTTTTCTCCGTCTGTGCTGCCACTTGGCTCATATAATTGTTTTAATATATGACCATTTTACCATTTTTACTCTGGCAGGACACATGTTTAGCCCTCTTTGTTATCATGTGAGAATTGCAGACATCCCAAGTTACGTTTGTCTCCCGCATACGCATAGCGAAGTGTTTGTGTACCTGAGCGTGTGTGTGTGTGCCTATGAAAGTTAGTGTCTGCACCTGAGTGTGTGTGTGCCTAAGTGATGGTGTGTGTATGTGTTTACCTCAGAGCATGTACCTGAGTGTGTGTGTGTGTGTACCTTAGAGAATGTACTTGAGTGTGTGTTTCTGTGTGTGTGTACCGTGAAGCATATACCAGACTATGTGTATGTGTGTGTGTGTTTACCTGAGTGTGTTGAGTTTCTGCAGAGCATCATTTACAGTGCGTCCTGACTCCGGTGTGTCCCCCAGGCTCTGCTGTATGAGTGTGAGCGTCTGCTGGAGGGTCTGGATCCAGCGCGAGGTGTTGCCGGATGTGGGCTGACCGCCGGACCACAGCAGCTGGTTAGTGAGCCGCTCCAGATCCACCGTCAGATCCTGCAGCTGCGAGCTCATGCTGAAGAAGCAGGACGGGCATGCAGGGCATTGTGGGAAACTGGCGCAGTGTCCCCGGCTGCAGGCGTCACAGCGGGGGCCGGTAACACCCGGTTTACAGCGACACACACCTGTGCGCTTATCACACGCCTCAGTGCCCAACTGGTCACAGTCACACCCTGATCAACACATCACATCATGTCAGATACTGTCAGTGTTAAAGTCCGTGTGAACAGGAAGTTTCTGAGACTTAAATTTTAGTATGCTAATGAGCTTCTATAATAAACTGAATATTGAGTAGGGGGCGGAGCTTTGTTTGCTCATTATTCAGTCATTATATATAATCAGGATATTAATATGTATCCTGTCACATTTGCGTGCAAAAACAGTCTGTGTGTGTGCGTAAACTTTCGTATTGACATTGTGTGTGACTCATCGTTGCAGAAAGGCTTGAATTAACTCCACAACAAATACATCAAATAATCATTGGGAAAGTTCTTACTGTAATATTTCTCACAGACGTTATGTGAGATCTGCTTCATGTCTGTCACTGTGATGTTTATCTGACGCAGCCGAGGCAGAGATTCAGGCACACTCTGATGACGTATTCACACCAGCCGTGGCACGCTCAGATATATCGTGCATTCACACGTAAATAGACAGGTGAACGTTTTGAGTTTACTCTCTTCATTCGCACGTCATATCTCCTTCACAATAGACGTAAAAGTGCATCATGGGCGGGGCTTCTGTCTGCCTGGTGACTGTAGCTTCGTTGCTAAAAGGTTAACATGGATTTTATTGAGAGAATAACTGTGTTTATGTGCTTTAGGAAGGCTGAAAAATAGTGTTGATTTGTTCGGAGCGGTGTCTAAGTTCACTACATTCTTTCAGAGGTGCACCCAGCTCTGTGAGTTCATCAACTCCTCCAGAAACTGAAGCTGGAAAGCTCCTGATTCGTTAACGGTGCGTGAATGTCCGCTGAAGTTCAAATTTTCCAACTCGAGCGAAACGTGCAACACACGCACTAAGCGTGTCAATCGAGCAAAATGCTCAACTCACACCGCTTCATTCGTGCGAATCGCGTCATTTGCGTTGCCTCATTCGCAGCCATAGCATCATTCGCGTCGCCTCATTCACATGTATAGCGTCATTTGCGCAAATCGTGTCATTTGCACTGCCTTATTCACACATATCGCGTCATTTGCACTGCCTCATTTGCGCCATCTTATTCGTGCGTATCGCGTCATTTGTGCCACTTCATTCGCGTGTCTCGCATCATTTGCTCTGTCAGATTCGCGAGTATCGTGTCATTTGTGCCACATCATTGGTGCATATTGCGTCATTTGCACCGTCTCATTCAGAATTTCGTGTCATTTGCGGCACTTCATTCGCAAGTATCGCGTCATTCGCACCGCCTCATTCGTTCATATCGCATCATTTGCGCCACCTCATGCGCGCGTAACACATCATTTGTGGCATCTCATTCGCTCGTATGGCGTCATTTACGCCGCCTCATTCGCACGTATGACATCATTTACGCCGCCTCATTCGCACGTATGACATTATTTACGCCGCCTCATTCGCACGTATGACATCATTTACGCCGCCTCATTCGCACGTATCACGTCATTTGTCCTGCCTCATTCACATGTCAGACTTTAAAAGAAGTGATGTGCAATTAAAATAATAGCATTTAGATACTTACGTCTACAGCCAATCAGAGGATCTCCGTATGTGTTGTCAGGGCAACCACTGCAAGTCCGGCCCCCATTCCCAGGACGGCATTGACATTGACCGGTGCGCTAAACCACAAAAACACGTGAGAACCGTGTGTGTGTGTGTGTGTTTGTTTGTTTTTGTGTGTGTGTTCCTGTAAATTAGTAAGTGTGCATGTTATATGTGTGTGTTTGTGTGTGTGGGTGTGTATGTACCTGGTCACAGGTGGCGCTGCGGGCATTATCAGGGTCACAGCCGCAGGGTTGGCATCCGCTGGGTGATGTGGGGTTCCAGTAACCGGCAGCGCAGCGATCGCACGACAATCCCTCCATATTAGAGCGACACACACACTGACCCGTCAGCTGATTACACACACCGCTGAGAGAACCCACAGAACTACAGGAACACTCTGAACACACACACACACACACCTATCAGTGCAGTTGTAGTCACATTCAATCTAATTCAGTTGCGTTCATTATGTTCATTCACATGTGTTTAATTTCATCGATTATTTATTGTCAGTTTGATGTTCATTAGTGATGATTTAATTAGCAAGCTGTTGTGTTGTTATTGTTGTTGTGGTGATGTGGTGTTGTGATGCTATATTGTGCTGTTGTGTTGTGGTATTGGTATTGTGTTGATATGGTGTTATGTTGTGTTGTTATGGTGTTGTGTTGATGTGTAATCATGGTTTGTTCTTATGTTATTGTGTTGGACTGTTGTGTTGTTATGGTGTTGTGTTGATGTGTTCTCATGGTGTTGTGTAGATATGGTGTTGTGTTGATGTGCTCTTATGGTGTTTTGTAGTTATGGTGTGTTGATTTGGTGTT